AGCAGGCACAAGGAAGTGGAGTAGACCTGATGACTAAGACCTATCTACAGTATAGGTACCTGTGGATGATCCTAAGAGACCAAGTCTGAAGAGACAGTCCCCAGGCAGAGTAGGCCTTATATTTATACCTCTGTGGTGGAACCTGCTAGAATATCTTGCTTACTCAGCCTAGTCAGGTGATCAGGTCATATGACCAAGGATGAGGTCATATGAGGTCATGCACAGCCATGCACAGCAGGTCACCTGACCATCCAATCCTTCCAGCAGGTTCCAGCACATGCCAAGGTATACCAGCTACTTCCATGTCATAAAGGCTTAGTCATGTCTCTTGACCAAGCAATGAGCTGGTGCCCTGACAGCATCCCAGTCTTCAGCAGATCCCAGGAAAAGCAGAAAGGGCAATAAATTGAAGGGTGGTATTTGGCCAGTGATGATCCAGATGTGTGCAAGGATACTGATACTGAGCCAAAATACCTCCTCAGTATCACTGGACATGGAATAGGGTCCACTATGTAGGACCTAAAGTGCTTTAAAATATTTTTAAGCACTTCAAGGGCAGTTTCCCCAAAAGGGTGGTAATTAAGCACTTTTGGATCCACCACTGAAGTGCTTTTTTAAGCTCTGATTGATACCCTTTCCCAATAAGGACTTTTGGGCCTCAATTAAGCACCTGGAGCACTTGCACAGCCACTAAGGGTCTTGACAATAGTGCATCAAGGCCAATGTGTCAAAGTCTGTCTCCTTTTGCCTCATCTGCCTCTTGCACCTCTACCACTACCACCTCCTCTCCCTCTAGGACTCCTCCTCTTGTGCTATGAGATCTCTTCAAGCAACCTGTTCCCCTTCCTTCCTTTTGCTATCCTCCATCTGGAGGACAGTAACTGTGATACCTGCAGAGAATAACTGGGTGCATATATGTTGTGGCTTAACTGGAGTGTTGCTTGTGCTGGACTGAGTGAAGTTCTATGAGGATTTCAAGGAGTTTCAGAGAGGCAGATGAATGCAAATTTGAAGTGTTTTTAAAAATGCTTTTTGTATTGTTAATTTTATTAATAAAATTTATTAACTATCTATAACATTTACTAATGGGCTGAAACATTCATTTAAATGCTGTTAAAAGCACTTCTTACCCATGAAACATGGGGTTGCATATCAACCCTAACATAGCACTCCATGTGCTTGATTGACAGACCTCAGGGGCTAGTCCGGGGTGCTTCAAAGAAGCACTTTTCAACATCACAGTATATGATGATATCCATCCTTCCATGTGGCTGTGTAGCATATGTACAAATTTGCCTCCATCATTACATTTTTGAGTGAACACTTTATTACAAATGCTAGTCCCTAGCATTTGCTTCTGCTCTTGGAGGCAAAAGGAGGCATTTTTAGCATATGAGTCCATCTAATAAGCTATTAATTGCAACCCTTAAGATGGAATGGGATCATTTCAACCTTCTCTTAAGTGACTTATTTCTGAGTGGCTGTCCATTTAAGCTCTACATTCATTTTTTCATGTTAGACACTTTGCTCAATGGGTGTAAGCAAAATATTTTGCCTTGTCTCTTATCTGTTCTTACCATTATGCACTCATATTCCCAACACATCTAGAGGGTGGCTGTGCATGAGGGTCCACAGGTCATGCACAGCCACCTCCCAGATGCATCAGGGTAGCAGACAGCCACATCTGAGCAGCAGTGTAGTTCTGATTTTAAAGAAAGTAACAATAACAAAAACATAACAAGCTCTTGACTATTCAGGTAAATGGCATAATATAATTACAGTATTTATGTAAGTACTCAGACATTTTTTGGGAGTTCCACTGCCTTTGTAGTGTGGCAAGCTACTTTTCATGGCAGATGGAAGCAAATTTTGGCTCTGCACACTACTCAGCCACTGACATTACCTCATTCTGTCATAACAAATAGGAGCACAAGGCTGGTAATCATATACAAGACAGATGGTAATAGGCTTTGTCTAAATCCAAAATAAATTATTGTTGTTAATAGTGTGAAACACTTATTTGGGGTGTGTAGCATGTGCACACTAGCGTATGCTTCCGTTTGCCTCCATTCTTTGTTATGGAGGCAAAACGGAGGTATATGCTACATTTACCTCCGTGCCACACGCTAAATTGGTATGTCCTCCATGACCCGTTGTGAGAAGAGTAGTAGATTCATTTGAACGACGCTTTGGGGCAAGGCTGGAACAATGTCATCAAGATGGGAATACGGGGAGGACTCTGCTCACATTCTGACATTCAAGTTCAAGAGGTGGCGTATTTTACGCTTGGATACTTGTATCGATAGATGTTGCACATGCTCAGGCTGCCATGGGTGTTGTTAGCGACGTACTTGCCACTCTCAAGTTGGCGAGAAGTGGGGTGATGCAGGAGAGGATGTTGTGCAGAGGGCGGTGTGTAGTCGCGCATTTGGAGATCAGGGCCACCCCTGGCGAGAAAGATAGTCGAACTGCACCATGTATCATCTATGCAGGTCGCAGAGCGAACCGATCCTCACACAGCGCGTACTGTAAACTGTAGGCATCGCATTACAAGCATAACAATATATGTACAACATTCACCTAGGCCTCGCATATCCCTCCCCCCCCCTTCTCTCGCACTCACGCACTCACGCCTTCAACTCCTCCTTCCTCTTCCTCATCCACTCCGGCACCTCATGCACCCTCTCCCGAGCCTTAACGTCCAACTCCCTCCTCAACCTCTCCACTTCCTCCTTCTCCTGCATCTCCTGTTGCAGCCGTTTCTCCTCCTTAAGCTGGGAAAGCAGCTCTTCCTTCTCCCTGATAAGCCGCTCGAACTCCTCCCTCTCCTTAGCGCGGAGCTCTGTCGCGCTCGTAAATGGTTGCGAGGGAAGAGGCTTGTGTGCCTGTGCCTGTTTTGCCAGCGCACGGGCCTTGCGCTGATCTTCCTGCGCGTGCAGGGCGGTCCAGTTCGGCGCTGGGTGGTAGTTCGATTTCTTGGGTTTCGGCGGCACGGGCGCGGCCGCGGCCGCTGCGGTAGCAAGTTGTTCCCAAACAGCGCGGGTAGACGCGAACGTTTGCTTATGCTTCTCGATCACGGCAGGGGGAAGAACAGGGGCGAAGGAGGTGGATGGGATCCGGTGCTTTAGTGGGATTAGCAGGTGACATGGGTTAATTGAAGGACGCACCTGGATGGACTCTACCAGCGCTTGTTTCTTCTCTTCCAGCACTTTGATACGCTCTAATGGTTGCCGAGGAACGTTGTTCGCCGAGGTCACCACTTTCCGCTCTGGCTTACGTTCCGTTTGAGCACGGTGTATTGGTTCAGGTTTGGTTTCCACCAGGACGGGAGGCTTGGTCACAACGCGTTTCCTAGACTTGGCGGGTGATTTGCGGGGCGACTTGCGTGGAGCAGGCTTTGCAGGTACGTTCTCCTTGTTCCCAGCCTTTGCCTGCCGCGGTTTCTTCATAGGACGCGCGCTAAGTTTATCATCGTTTGAGGAAACTCGCTTTCTGGCATTCGTCGGAGCCGGAGGTTCAGGGGCGATCCTGGCTACTGGAAGGGGATCCTGTACGGCGGGTGGTGAAGGAGGGAGGAATGGTTGCGCTGGGGAGGGCGGTAGGACGCCGCGAACCGTCTGTCTCGCCGCGGCTTCTAGCTTCTCAAGAAGGGACTGTCCTGGGTAAGATTGCTGAATAACTGTGGCAGGCTGTGCGTGTATCTCCCGCAAGGGGACTGGGTCAGAGGCTTGAGGGACAGGAAGAGCGGCCGTTTCGACCTCGTGCGGGGAAGCGGCGGGTTCCGGAGAGGACGAGTCCGTCGAGGAGCTTCTGTGGCAACAGTTAGATAAACAGGGAAATGTAATGCGCATACACTTACGCAGAACTTGCAGCATCGCCATCAACGACTCCAATCCTCTCCTTGTACATCTTCAGCTTCTCCATCAATCCCCCAAAGCTTGCATCATCGCTTGACTCGGCCGGCGCTGTGGACTGCCGGTGCTCCTGGCGGACGGCAGCCGGAGTGGGAGGCGGCAGAGGCATCGTCTCATCCATCGGTAGATTTGCGGGCGGGGGTACGAAGAAAGCCGCCACAGGTGGAGTGTGGACTCGAGAATGGACTGGATGAGGAGAGAAGGGGAGTTGAGGCGTACGATGCTCAGTGGTCGAGAGGACGGCGACTTGTTCCAGTTGAGTAGATGCCCTCGCCGATTCGGGTTTAGCGCTCAAATCGGACGTGTCCCTGTGTTTCGTGTCTAGGGACTTGCGGTCGTGCGCGACCTCGATGGATGCCTTGGGTTGCGAGCGCTTTCTTTCCTTCCCTCTGACGACACTGGTCTGAGTAACAACCGCGGGGGAAAACATGTCGACGGCAGCATGTATAGGGGCCAAGTCAGAGCTAGGAGCAGACTCGGAGTTGTCGAGGATGGGAGGAAGCGGATTGAGTGGCTCTTCTCGTTGGTGCCTTGATCGCCTCGCCTTCCTTGCACTCTCGGTTTGCGTTGTCTCTTCCCCCCTGCCGGTGTTCTGCGTCTCAACTTGGAGTTGAACACCCGTATCTCTGTTCAGCTTCTTGTAATTCATAAAATCGCTATCATTGTCTTCGATGATGTCGATATTCCTCATGGTCCTCTTCCGGGGGCTCTTCGACCTCTGTCTGGAGGTCTTACCAGCCTTGGCGGGACTAGCTACCTTGACGAGTTTCTCCGCTTTCCTGATTGGAGTGTGTCCCGTCTTCTTCACTCGCTCTTTGAACACAGTCTTCCCTTTCCTAGCCTGTTGAAAAGGCGGTACAAACATGCTCATCTCCTCTCCCCAAGGGATCTTGGTATCCTTCAACAACGTAGCATCGCCAAAGTTTGGCAGAGCTATAGATGACTCCGGGGTATCGTCTTCATAGTCCACAGCAGCAGAGGGCGTATTAGGAGGGAGGTACTGAGAGGGTATCGCGAATGAAGATTCGTTAGATGCCATCAACGGCGTCGCTGTCAGAGTCTGAAGTTGTTCGGTGTTGTGTTGAGCAGAGACGCGCCTTACTTCGCGTTGGGCAAGTAGTCACGTGATCTTTCCGGCGCTACATTTGCCGCCGTTCATCAAAGCACAGAAGGAACAAGGCTTCGAACCGATAACCAGTTTGCAAGCAGGTGTCTGAAAAACTGGTGGTGGCTTACTTCGGTTCTTGTACTTGACGGCTATCCTCTTTCTATGTCTGCTAATTGAAGAAACGGAATCGATTGTCAATTTCCTCCGCGAAAGCGCCTCTATTCAGTTCTCGTCAACTTCTTTCGGAAGTCGATGATGCCTTTCGTCAAGGTGAAACATCCAGCACATCATCAGAGTTTGTATTAACAATTTATTTCTGGGTGCAGCGTGGCGGACTTTTGGATACCGACGACGACGATGATGTGAAGAGCTACCTCGAAAACAGCGAAGGCCCGGAGTTGGACCGGTCAACATCGCCGAAACAGACCGGGTTTTCTCCCTTGACTAAACTTGTCAGCAACCCCGAGATATTGCAACTTATCCTGGACCATTTGGAACCCACCTCATTAGTCTCCCTATCTCGAACTTGCCACCTGTTGTTCCCTCCGAGCGCTAAAACCCTATGGGGAGACGCCCATCTCTCGGTACTGGATCTTTTCGCCCGGTTGCTCCCCCAAGGCCTATTTTACCAAAATGAGGACAAAAAAGAAGAAATATTCCGATATTTATGTCCAAGAAAGTCCGATTTCGAGCGATTTCGACTATACGGTAGCTTCGTGCAGACAATATTCATCCCGGCCCAGATCCTTACCATCGATCTGGACGCCGCCGCTCTGCTGTCCCCATTCTTCCCCAAGTCTCACTTTCTTCCAAACCTGCAGTATCTATCTGTGGGATATGGGGCCCAGAGTCTCATGCTCGCCCATCTGTTACTCTCACCCTCTGTCCTGCAGCTGTCTGTTCTGCAAGAGCCAGACAACGTTTTGTCAACCGCCGCGCCTCTGTGCTCACTGCTAGAATGGCTACCCGATCGATGTCCAAACCTCGAGCGCATCCAGATACGGTTCGGTCAGACAATCTCTGTCCCGGAGGCTACCGTACTCGCCGAAGCCCTCGAACGACTGCAAAAGCTCCGCATTGTTGAGCTCTCGGAAGGATGTTTTTCGGGACGTGTATTCAAAGCACTCTCACAACTACCAGTCCTATCCGCTCTGAAGGTTTCGAAGCATGGGAATATCGGCGGTTTTCGGACAACGGACCCTATCCCCATGGAGAACTGTGCCTACTTCGGGGCCTTGCAGGTGCTCGACTTTTCCTGCGCGCCTCTCATCTGTGCGGCAATTGTCGCTGCCTCTCCTCGCTTGGAGCGCCTTATCCTCGTCTCGCAACGATGTTATGATCGATGGTTTGAGCGTCTCAACAAGGCATTGCTCACGCATCGGACAGTCAAGCATGTGTCCTTCGCATTCGAAACGAACATGGATCCCGCATCGGTGTGGCAACACCTGCAACCACTATCTCAATTATCCCTGGAGAGCTTCCGATACAAAGGTTCGTGGGCCTTTGCGCCCATTTTCAGGAATGATGATGCACTTCAGATCGTGTATTCCTGGAGTAACCTGCGGATCTTGTGTTTGGACTTGCCCATCTCGGATGGTGGAAAAGGCACGCCGAACCTGTCAACTCTGATGACCTTATTCGAACACTGTCCAAACATCCAAGAACTCAGTCTAATGGAGATATGCGATGGCGAATACGCAGAAGAGAAGTGGCACATCGTCCAGTCCAACCTTCAAAAGATGTTTATCCTCTTCGTCCGCCTGCCAGTCCCGATCTTCGTCCGATTTCTCTCGATCGTATGTCCAGATGTTGTTATATCGGGGAACCGTGACTCTCAGATGATCAACGACCAACTCGATCTTGTTCGATTTATACGAGAAGCTGATCGACGGCAAAAGACGAGGCTGCTGACGGGATAAGAGACCAATTTCCACCCCACTTTTCCCGTTATCCCATTCGGACGACTATTGTCAAACACAATCGCATGATTCGTATGTGGAAAATCTAGGAACATCTCATGTCAGTGATCTATCATGTTGTATGTAGAACATCCTGCCTTTAGTGATAATTGTACCGCGCAATTTATTAGCACCCCCTGTTACATCTGCCACACTTGTAGCCCTATTCCATTAGAATTTTGACAATACTAACAAGATATTATTTTCCTGCTCCTGAGTTTACTCAGCAAGCAGAGGAGTGAATCAGGAAGCATGAGAACAAGAAGCAGGAACACGCGCCCATCCGCGCGGATGCATCTTTCTAATTTCCCCGCATTTGAACTTGACCTTCTTTATGACTAGCTCAGATCTGATCCGCTGGCAACTTCATTCCTCACTTAGGCAATGATACACCGATGGTGCGAATTGACTCCCTCTATGGACGTTCTGCTTGGACCATCGAATGAACGCTTCTCTGTGCTTCTGGAATACCCCGCATGGCACGACAAGTTCTCCCTGACGCACAATATTTCCTTTTGAGACACTGGGAGTAGAAAATGTCCCATAAAACGCGCTTTATAAGAGGAATGGGCGCGTCTCTACTTCTTCTCGTACCCCTCTCACGCCATCTACTCTCCTAAGCCTTCATTCCCCCTAACATCAACAGGCGTACTTAGCGCTACATCACATTCCCTCATAACAAGTCATTCTTTCAACAACAATATTCGTTACAATGCTTTCTCTTCTTACCTTATGTCTTGCTGCTGTCGCATCGGTAGCAGGCCAACAGTATGCGCTATCCGAACAGATGATTCGCAGCGCGATGCTAGGCTCCATCCGCACCAGGTACGCCGCTCATTCTCAGACGCGTTTTCCGTGCTGAATTGCCATGCAGTTGGGAGCAGGGCACCGCTTCCCATGGTCTGATGGAATTTGACAGTCCGCAATTCAGCGTGTTTGGAGGAACCTCATTCCCTCCAGGTCCAACCCCTTTCACCTTCGACCTGTCCGCGTTCCCCGTGTCAACCATTCAGCTTGCCGTCTCTGCCGTGACGCGTCAAAGCGCGGATGGACGTCTGTCCCAAGTGATCGGCGATGGGCTAGATGGTGCCGCACTAGATGGTGCCTCTGCCGGGAGTGCAGTTCTCCTTGGTTCCCTCGTCGACCAGAACCGTCATACCTACTTCCTGAATGCCGCGAACGCCCAGCTCAACTACGTCCTCAATGTCGCACCCCGCATGCCGAATGGGGCGATCTCCCACCGGGCGGCGTCTCGCGAGTACTGGGCCGACGGCGTGTACATGGGCTTCCCGTTCATCGCCTACTACGGAGCTGTGACGAAGAACCAGACGCTGCTGCAGACGGCGTACGAACAGTGCATGCTATACCGCGAGGCGCTGTTCGAGCCAAACTACGGGATGTGGGGACATATCTACTCGGCAGATACGAATTCCTGGTCGGACGAAGGCATCTGGGCATCGGGCAACGGCTGGGCGGCGCTTGGGATGCTCCTTGTCGCGAGAACCATCGAGACGTCTGCTTTTGGCTCCCAGATGACCAACCAGACCACGGACCTCCAGAACTGGATCAAGGAGATCTTAATTGGCGCTTTCAATAATGCCGTCAGTGCCTATTCCTAATGCACTATTGTTCGTCTAACCAATTTGATTTAGAACTCGGACGATCTCCTCCCGGACTACTTTTTTAACACCGGCGTTTCCTTCTCCGACGCCTCCGCTTCAGGGGCAATCGCGGCCGCAGCATACCGGGCCATGACCCTCTGGCCCTCCGTTTTCCCCTCCCACACCTTCCTCAATCCTGCAGAGAAGATCTTCAACACTATCGTGCCCGGTGTCGACGAGCTGGGACTTGTAAACCCTGTTGTGGACCCTCTGAATTGGAGTTCAATAGGCACGGTCAGCACAGAGGCGCAGGCTTTTGCGTTGATGATGAGTGCCGCGAAGAGGGCGTATGATTCCAAGGCAGGTTTAGCTGATGTTGTCAAGAGGAACAGACGTATGCATAAGTTCAGAGCGTGACTGCTAGTGTGGTGTACGTACATGATGTTCAATCAAATGCACGCGTCGGATACCCCTATTCGCATTGCAGTCTTGTCTCACCAGACAAATGCCCAGTGATCTGCACCTCTTTAGGGGAACTTCAAAGGTTTGAGCAGTGCCAACTATAAATACATTAACTTGAGCCAACCAAGGCCGTCAATACATGCAAACACTATCTGTTTCCAAAAAGTAAGCAGCAGCCATAGACTCAAACGCCAACGCTCATCAACCTGAACAGACCTATTCAGCAGGCAGCCCCTCCAGCGCTCCGAACATCCCAAACGGGGAGCCGTTCGAACCGCTAGGCCCAACATGACTGCGGGATCCTCCCCTACCTTTCTTCTTCTCCTTCCTCCGGTCCTCGAACCACATATCGTCTCCCAGTCCTTGTTCAACGGCAGCGCACCAGCGTTTAGCATCTCCAGTGATCTTCCCAGTGGCGTTGAGCAATGCAGCATGCAGGGCTCGGCCAGAGAGACGGCATTCCCCCTGCCCACAGAGAGCCGAGATGAGCAGTGCCTGGGCAAGCCAGGCGATGTTCTCCATAGCATGCAGAAGCTGAGCAGCCAATGCGATCGGGCGATTTTCCAGCGGCGTCACAGGCACAGTGGAAGGCGCCTCTCTGTCGACGTCGGAGGATGGGAAAATGACTGCGGCCAGAGCCTCCAGCTCAGATCTCTTCCAACGCGCTTCGCCTCCTTTCTCCGCACCTTTCATGATCGCCCACCTCGTGCTCAGCGCAAGATGACACTCCTCGCTACTCCACCGTGGCGTTGCGTCATCCCAGTCGTTCGCTGGATCCATTATGCCTGTTCCTTCAGCTTGGAGTGCATGCAACAGTACGCGAACACGCTCGGATTCGCTGCGGACAATCACAGGGATATTCTGTGTTGGGTTGACACGACTGCTGCGACTCGGCTCCATCCATCGCCATCCCTCCGGAAACAGATCGCCCACAATTGGCTGGCGCACATCGACTTTCTCTGGTTTGATGGCCTGGGCCCGGCGGACATACTCCGTTACCTGCACCCTGCGAACCCGGCCATTCGGTGGGCTGGCGACAACACTCATTACTCGACTCAACGGTGCACTGCCGCCATCGACACTTGCGTTCTCGTTCCTTCCGCCACGCAAGCGCCAGAGTGCTGCATGAAGGCTTCGTAGCTCTGGTGAGTTATCGGGCTGCGCTACACCATCTTCCGGAAGATAGCCATGATACAGTTCCGTTTCGCGGCGCTCGCGAGCACGAACTTGAGCGGCAGCACGCATAGATGCCCGTTTGTCGCTCGTCACCCACGCGGGCTCTTCGTCGCTGTCCATTTCCTCCACCGGGATGAGCTCGTCCTCGTCATCGTCATCCCCGTTCGCCAAGGTCTCCTCACCTTCCTCTCCATCCTCCATCTCGTCCTCCATCTCGTCGGGATCCGGCTCCTCATACACGCCAACAGCCTGGTCGACAATAGCATATACCCACTGTCTGATTTCTCTTCCGACCCAGACAGCCACACTACCAGCATCAGGGTCTTCGAGGAAAACACTGGGCCAGAATGTTCCGGTTGCTATGAGGTCCAGCAGTTCTGGAGCAAGCATGCCTTCCCGGTATGCTTTCAGGTAGAGAGGCTTAGTTGCAGCAGCGGGGTAGTCGTCAAATGCACTCGGCACGAGCTGTTGCGGCAACTCGCACGCATCTGGGGGGTGCACGGCGCAATTTACCCCTGGTTCCCCGGGAACTGGCAGCGCGTACTGCAGAGTAGAGCTGATAATCGCTTCTCTCAGCTGGATGGCGAGTCCACTTGGCAGGGGAGGACGCAGCGCAAGAATTTCGATCGCACGCATGATGAGGTCCAAAGCGCGGTTATACCCGCTCGGCGTAGCGGTTCCACTTGATGATTGCTGAGCAGACGCAGTTCGCAGTGCATTGGCCGTCCGTTCGACGTTCTGTACTGGAGAATTCGATTGTGGATGGAAATGCTGCCGCATTGTTGCGGGGGTATAGTCGGTGCCGAGGAAGCTGGCCAAGAGCGGAAGATGGGTGGGTGGCAAATTGAGCAAATTCGACAGAGCGAGTGGAGCATAGAAGGTCAATTTGAGGCCGTGGGTTGTTGCTCCAGGGGATGGCAGCAAGCCAGCGTTCCTCGTCGTCTTCCTCCTCCTGCTCCGGACCTCACGGAACTCCTCCTCGTCACCCCACGCGCTGGAAGAGCCCGCGCTGGGGGTGTCTGGTCTCGAGGTTCCGGGTACAGAGTCCTCCACCACCCAAACCATCTCATCCAACGGGCAGTAACCCATGCCCTCCGCGTTGTCCGTGCCTTCGCCGCATACAGAACCAATATAGACGATAAAATCGCTGTCCGTGCCTAGAACCCAGACACTGCGCTGGCGAGCGAGTTCGACAGTGAAGGGGTCACCTTCCGAATCAGCGAAGTGGACCTCGACTGGCTCGAACATGTCTGTACCGTCGTTCGATGGGTGGACGGTGAGTGCAAAGAGGCATGAGCTGTAGCAGAGAGGGGGGAGTACAAATGTTCCAGCTTGACTGAGTCGACCAGCGGGTCCGGAACGATAGGTGAGTAGAAGATCCTTTCGGTTCTGATCGAGACGTTTTTCCACAGTTGGGAACTTTGCCTGTGGAGTCGGACCTATCCAGAGGGTATGAGCATATGGTGACGTAGTTCCTTTTGTTCATTGCGCACCATCAAAAACAACAACGGGTTCGAGTCCAACTCCCCTCCATGCTGTCACGAGTCGTCTAATGTCATGTTCAAATGCCGCATATTCGCCCCCGTAGACCCAGGGTAGCTGTGCGGCCCTATACACCGCATATATGAGACTCCATCCATCGACGATCACCTGCTGTCGTTCATCCGCGGATTTTATGGACGGTGCAAGATGGAGGGTTTGAGCGAGTGACGAACGATTAGCTTTGAGATAGGAGGTAAGGCCATGAACGCCCATCAGGCGTGATCAAAGGAGTTGAGGGTGCAGGTTTGAAGACCAGAAGTGGATATGTGGGGTATTGTGGTCGAAGATAAAGACGCCGTCATATAATGCTGTGGTCGATAGTGTTCCGTATTTGTAGAAGAATAAGTAAAGAGATACAATAGATGAGTAGTTAATGATGATGAGCTGTAACTTCTCATCGACGTGGTGAAGACGTTGGTTGGGGGACAGGTGTCGTGTGCTCGGCTGAGTGGTTTGCACTGAGCGGTGTTCGGACAAATTTGGCTTGTCTGACGCGGGGAATGCGGGGTAATTGTTTCCGGAGAACATAATACACGACGACCACCAGCCTGGCACTGCATATAGCGAGCTGGCGACTGAGAGGCAACTACTGCTGGGCAATTCTCCTCTGTGCTGGATATTTCTACTTGTTGTCTTCGGGGGGAGTCAGCCAGGAACCATTTCTGCCATCACATAGAGCCAGTTTGAGCATCAGGGCATCAAAGTGCAGCATTCCCTCACAAGAAGGTCGCAGTTCATCCTGATTTCATGCCGCTGGCGTGGATAAAATATCCAAGGCAAAACGACTTTGAATGAAGCGACACTTTCCAGGACATCTTCGACAGGATTAACGGCATCATATATATATAACTTCTTATGCTGTTCAAATCTCTTTCGCATTCTCTCTACGTATTCGTCTAGGGAATCGACAGGGAATCAATTCATGGATCGATCAATGCTTGCGGGAATCTTCAGCGGGTGGTGACACAATGAGGGCAAGAAGGGATTCCATCGCATCCTCGAGTGGCTTCTCAAAGGGCTGCAGCCATGAGTCCTTGCCCTCTGTCGCCGCAACTGAAGCATCTGCGATCAACAATGAGCTAGGCCCCATATAAAAATATGGATCAAACTCACCAGTGGCGACACTGCTCGTGCCCACAATATAGTCGCGGGGGAGAGTGATTTCCACCTTCTGCTCCACGAGACGCATGTCCAGTCCGCCTCCCGTGACCTGCCTCAGCTGCTCCCCGGCTTTATTTCCACCGTGGCCTCCGTAGGTGACGATCGCGAGGGGCTTTCCGACCCACTCGTTGAACAAGTGATCGAGCGCGTTCTTGAGCTCTCCGGGATAACCCCAGTTGTACTGCGGGCTGACGATGACGAACCCTTTGCAGGAGGACACGAAGTGGCTCCAGTTGATAATCGCGGTGTTCCCGTATTTCGCCGGATCTTTGACACCTGCAGGCACGACGTCTTCTATCAAGGGACCGATGATGTAGTTGGGGGACGTGAAGTGGACGGGAACGATCTCCACGTCGAGCTCAGGATGTGATGCGACGACCTTGCTAAGTCCGGACGACACCCAGTTGGAGATGCCGATGCCATTTCCGCCTTTGCGAGTCGAGCCTACGAAAACGGCAATACGAATGGGTGTAGCAGACATATTCGATAGAAGTCGAGATAGAAGAACACGGGTTGTGGACGTGATGAGAGAGAGGGGCGTTGCTATTGTTGTTGGCAAGAGACGAGCGCGTACTCTTGCTCTTATATGTGCTACTGTCGTCGTGCGCGACAACATGCGCATATTGGACGAGCCCAAAAGGCTTGCCTAGAAATGAACATGGTGGAAAGGCATTCGCCGGTGGACGATATCGGCTGAAGAATGTCGGTCAACTTTGACTCATTGCTGACAAAGCCTGATTATGTACACTCTTTTGTCGTGCGGATCGGAATTGGTTCGCCGTAACTGCGGGGATCGAGCAAAGTGCAACGGGTGGAGACCCACGTCGGCCCTTCTCACGCGCGGCCACACAGCACGGATGAAGGACGGGCGAAACAGTTCCCGAAACAACCAAAGAGAACAAACGTCCGACTTATTGTCTCTGTGGCTATGCAGTATATACTGTCCATGCGTGAGACGGTCGCCTCCATCTTGCTCCGAACCATCATCCTCCTCGCTAAGTTGCTCTGCCGTCTTGTAGGAAGTCATCCTCCACACCGAGATATATTCTAACTCTTATCAAACAGACTCGGCGAAAATCATACCACCATACTTTGCTAGCGATGTCGTCGCCAGAATCTGACTGGTCAACCCATTCCGAGTTCACGCCCGTTTTCGGCGAGCGATGGAAAGAGGCGGCTCCTGAAAACGAAATTCGACTCCGCGATGCTATTGAGAAGACAGAGAAGGACATCAAAGAGCTATATGACCTCCTCGAAAAACAGAAAGAGGAGCTTTTTGTAGCCAGAGCTCGACAGGCGCCTATCGCCCGTGTTCCGGACGACGTCCTTGGACTTGTGTTCGAAGCGTTGGCCAAACATCTCAATTCGACGCGCAATAAAGCCACATCAAGCAGTGGGCTTTCCACTGCAGACCAGCTCGCATGCGCACAAGTATGCTCTCGATGGCGCCGAGTCGCATTTGACACATCAGCATTATGGTCTCCCTTTGTAATTAACCGCGACACTGGCATGCTTGCGCTGGAATTCGCTGCTTTTCTGCTGGCGCGTACTTCTTGGCCCTTTGGACTTGAATTCACGCTTACCTGCGACAAAATCGGCGATTTGTTCAAGAGATCTGCCGCCATGTTGTCACGGTATGGTAGTCGACTGACGTTTCTCTCTTTGAAGGTGTGTAAGTACGGCATTCACAAATTCTTTGCCGCTGGTATAGGTGCACATATCCCCAACCTGCAATATCTCAAATACGGTCCGGAGCCCAAGGAACTTTGCCAACCATAGCACAGAGACAAGTGGAATGAGGGTCGTTGGCAAGGAGACGAGCTTAAGCATATCCAAATGCTTCATACCCTGGAGCTCTCAGATGTTGGCTTGCCACAGCAAATAAGCGAAACGGTTCTCGCCTCCATCACTCGCCTCGAACTGGATCGCGTATATTGCGGGAGCGCCAAGACGCTTCAGGGATTCCTGGCAAAGGTGCCCAACCTCCGGGACCTACGGGTGGCTTCCATGTACCTCGACGATCGCAAAAACATGGACGACGATCCCTTTGTTGCTACTTTGCCCAATGTTCAAATTTTCGACTTTGGAAACCTGGAATTTCGCTCTCGCTTCACCTTCCCAGCACTCCGTCTGGTCAAACTATGGCCATCAGTGTCGGGCACAACAAAGGCCGCTCAGCTAGAGCTGCTTCGCACGCACGCCACGATTACCCGAGTTGATTTTGTCGCTGTACATAATGACATTTCCTCAGTTGCAGACCTGATAACCAGTACAAACGCAGATGGCTCCATGAGGCTCCCATGCCTAACCGAAATCCGCGCAGGCGATTGGACGTCTAGGCGATATCCCTCAGGCGGTTATTTTAGGAAGATCTGGGCTGATGAGCTCCTCCGTATCGCAAAAGGACGTGATGAAATGGGCTCCCGTCTGCAGAAGATGGTTGTAAGCCCGCCATTCACTCCAGAGCAATCGAAAATCCTGAAGAAGTTTGTTTCGCTGGTCGTTGAAATTCACGTCGAAGATTCTTGGATCAGGTACGCGTGGCCCGGAGTCCTTTGCGAGCCCTATGTCTAATCCTGATCGATGCTGATTTTAGAGTACAAGATTTCTGAGAACGAATGCATCATGACGCTTCCTCCCCTCCAGTTTATCTACCATTAGTATCATGAGACCATATGCATACTGTCCTAATCTGATCTATCATCCCTTCGAACTGTCCAACTGCGGAATTCGCTCAACCTTCGATCCACAACCACGCTCCAGCTCTCCACACTCCCCAGCACACGCAAGTCCCGAAGAAAGTCAGGTCGAATATCTTGCCAAATACTTCAAAGCGGGGGAGAAGGGCAAATAGTGGCTCTGCTGTGTTGGCCGAGGAGCTTGGTACTGATGATCGTAGTTGTACGAGGGTGGACAACAGGTACATGCCCTGCTGACAGTGTCAAATCAGTGACATCTTCGGTAATGACAAACGTACCATGATTTGGGAGAGGATCAGGAGAAGGAACGAGGCCAGCATATTGCGGCTCGAGACTTTTAGTACCTGTGTGACAGGGTCAACAATACGCTCCACGGAGAGACAGAAAATGAACACACCTTGGCCATATTCCTGAAAATCAACCTTACGTTGCCACCCACCACCACCCCGACCAGGACCAAGCTGATCTGCCTTCCCAAAAGTTGGATGTCTACACTCGACTTGTCTACAAAAGGGAGATGGGCAACGGCCAGAGCCAGGACATAGGTGATGATATCTGGGACGTTCCATTCAGGCCGGGTGCCGGCGGACGAATTGCGGTGCAGGATGAAAGGGAGGATGAGGTTTGACACGACCTGCAATGCGGGCCATTAGTATGCTAAGAGTATCTCACGCATATACGTACCGAAATGATGCGGATCGCACAGTAAACACCGAAGATCGCAGTCGCAAAGTTCCATATCCTCCCCTTGAGCGTCCTGGAATACTCCATCCTTTCCTGTCTATGTGTCAGACACGTTCCCTGGCTCGGGAAAGGAAGAAATAATACCTTCCTCAGCCTGAGCGCCTCCAACTCTCGGCCCATCTTCTCCTCCAAAACCCGCATCGCGCTCACCTCACCGCGGAGGGCACTGTCCTCCCTTGCTCCTTTGCCCAAAAAGCGGCTCCAGAAGCCCACTTCTCCTCTGGCCTCGGCAAGGCGCTCTTGTTCCCTTGTTCGCTCGGCTAAGTCGTTCCGCAGGCGTGCGAGCGAATGTTCGAGGCTGGTGATATCCGTGGGTTTGGGAGGAGGCGCGGAGCGCAGGGCGAGTAGAAGCGCGTGTGCCGCGTGGAGAGAAGCAATCGCAGAGAGAGTGGAGAGGATGATGACACCCAAGAGGATTAGTCGTGCGAGGAAGGAATCGAATAGCGTCGGTGTGGGGATCGGGGGAAGCGGGATCTGGAAGAGCAAGAAGACGTAGACAAGGAAGGGGATGAAGACGCTGAGTAGTCGCAGGGGTGTAGGGCGCAGATGGGGCTTGGAACGACCGAATGTGAGCAGGTGCAGTTCGAGGATAGGGCATGCGAGTAAGGTGAGAGCGGATGAGGCGAGCAGAGAACCCCGGAAATTCATCACTCTCCCACTGGTTGACGCTATGACCATGTAGTATAGGAAGATTAAAGAGACGCACGGTTCATGAAGGATGTCCATCGCCTGGAACAACACTAGTACGAATAAAGTGCCCGTCTCTGCGAACACAGTCCCGAACACACCCCTGGAGACGTTACTGTGCGTGAGTTGACTGGCAGCAGTCTCGAGCACCTTCTCCAACATCCCTCCTGCACCTGCGGCTCTTGCATTATGCAAGGCATCTCCGTCAGAGAGACTGTGAGAATGTTGTGGACGCCTCAATGTCCATCCGCTCCCGTCTGCGGAGACAGGGATAGGAAGGAGACTGATCTCCTCGATCGACGAGCTGCGTGATAGGATGTGCTCCCCATGCGGGTGCGCTGGTGTCGCTGGCGTAGGGAGGGAAGAGACGTCAGTTGGGTCAGAAATATGTCGTAGATCGGTGTAAAGGCTTTGCAGCACTAGATTTTTTCAGTCAGTTCCAGCACGATGACGGAAAGGATTGGGTGTACGAAATCTCCGACAGACGTAGAACAAGCCCGCCCTTTCCCATTTCTAAGCAGCGATCCCGTCGACAAGAGAGAAGGTTGCACACCTTACTAGGCATACTACTGCTGTGTCGATGATCAATGCTTGGGTCGACATGGTCGTTTGTCGCTGCTCCCCTTCTCTCTCCTGCAGGTGAACCGTCGCACAGCCAAAAACCCGACGCGTATTTCTCTCAGACTTCGAGAAGCGCGCGTGAATCCGCGCATTCCGCGGAGGTCGAATTATAACAGAACCGGGACAACAGTGATTGACAGAAACAACAACCAATTCCTCTCTACAAAAGCTCACAACTGAGGATCACAGGAAGGAACTTGCGTATGCAGCCAGAGTCACATCAACTGTCCCAGTTGATTCACATCCTATCTTGTTTATTCTATTCTCGCAATTCAAATCCCTACAGATCGGTGGGCAATCTCCTTCTTCTTTGACTACACTCACGCTCACTCAAAACGTTTCCGACCGAACGACATGCCTCCCTCTATCGATGACAACTCTCAGTCCCCTCCCCGCCCAAGCCGTCTGCGACTGGGACCCCTCATCCGGAGGAACGTCATACCCATGCGCGACGCCGTCCGAGAAGTAGTAGTATCCCGGTAAGTAGCGGTCTACGAATCTGGGCGGCGGTCAGTTCAGCTCGCGAGAGACGACAAGGGGGAAGGCGAGAGAAGTGGTGAAATGGAAGCAACGAATGGGAGGACGCACGCTTTGACTTGCTCGTCTGACATTCCCTTCCCTCCATTTTTGGCTTTCATATTGTGCTCCTGCTGGAGGCGCCATTCATGCACATATGCAATGTCTTCTGGTGCGATCTACACTCGGTCAGTACAGGGCAGAGGGGTTGTATGGAGACACTCCGTTAGTAGGGAACTCACCTGTATAAACACGCTAAACGCGATCCACCATTCCACCGCATACAGCTTCAAGAAATCGTTTATTTCTCTCACATCTTGAATCCTATGCTCTGGAATCTTGGGTCCCTTCCATGAGCTGTACGTCACGAACCTCTGGTCGAGCTCCTCGTCCGAGAGCGGGTAGAAGCCCGTGCACCAGCCTTCTACGAGTACGACGTCGACTTTTCCTAGGACGGGAATTCCTTCGAACGCCCGGTCGCCTTCACCACCAAAGAGGGACTTGTCAAACACCGGTAGGATGGTGGTGTTGTGTTCCTGGGCTCTACGGAGGGCGCGGAAGATCCCCACCCCGAGATCGAGGTCGTGTGTGCCTGGTTGACCACGGCCTGTGAGAAGAGGGTTTTCAGGATGTTCCCGGGCCAGCTTCTTCAGCCCCGCATGGGGCAGGTAGAGGTCGTCGATCGATAGCACAGCTACACGGAGGTTGTGCTGCGAGCGGAGGAGTGAAGCAAGAGAGGTGCAGAGGAACGTCTTTCCCGACCCTTGTGGTCCTTGAAGGAGAACGAAGAGGGGTTCTGCGCGGGGAGATGGTGGGAGGTGGGAGAGGATGTGGGATGCCATAAGAGGCACTGCTGGGGGCAAATGTGGGACAAGGGGGAGCTCGGTAGTCATCGTGCCTATGTCTGGTGGGCGAGGTGGATATGGATAGACGCCGGCGAGTCGCGCGGTGGTAGAGAAACACCTAGATGAGGACAAGACCGTTGCTCGTAAAGAGAGTAGGAGAGAGAAACATGTACGCATCTCATCCTTTGCCTCGAGGGCGTGATCACCGTCGGACGAACACCCTGACCCATATTCGGAGTTATGAAATGCGGATGGCCTCCACCAAACCTCTTGGCGAAAGTCCCATTGTCCAATGATGTAGAAAATATAAATATAAACAATACCAAGTGTTTATCACTTCACATCTCTTCATCTCTCACCCCATACTCGGGCGGCACATCCCTCACAACGGCCCCAGGCGGCTCTACAAGTAAAGGTAATACAACCCTCAAATCCTTCCCCGCTTCCTGATAACTCGGTAACTGCTCCCCTCTCTCTCCGCCGTCTCGCCCTTCCTCAGTAGCAGCAAGGGCCAGCCGTTCCCTAATCTGCCGTCTTCGTTCACCTCTCGCCCTCAGGTCCTCCAGTTCCCGGGCGGTACGCGGATGGAGCGGTCTCACTTCCTCTTCCCTTCCTGCTCTTCTCAGCGCTGAGCGGCGGATGAGCACCCGTGCGAGGATGGAGAATGCTACTAGGGCGAGGGCGACTATTACTGTATTTAGAATAAGCATAGTACGACTATGGTCAGGAATGAAAAGGCGCACCAATGATGAGGTAGCCGGTGTAATGCGACATCGACTGGGACATCACTGCACACTGAGTTTGGTATCCCAGATCTGAGGAGCGTATAATACCCGAGCCAGAGAGATCGTCCACATAGCCGGATAAATGAAACTAACCGCGTGTCATACGGCCAGCAAGCATCATAGTGCTACGTTCAAGTGTGCTCGAATCATGGAGCGCAGCACACGTCAGTAGTCGCGTGTCGGTTGTAAGTCGAACCACTCCCAGACTGAGTCGACAGCACAGCCGGAGCAGAAGAGCTCTACCGGTTAATCCGTGTTGCGCAGCCCACCAGTTCCACTTGCCGTCGGAGCCGAGGTGAATCCGATCAAGAAACGCGGTCGCGTCGCGGAGAACAGTCACGAAGTTCTGACGACACGGGTACCTTATCAGGTTCTGGGACATTGTTTCGTCTTTTCCTGACTTTTGCAATGTCCGCCCTGTTAGAAGTGGACCCAAATCGTGTCGAGCAAGGCTCGGTTCCAGAAGACTTGGATCGAAAGCTATTCGGGAAGCAATGGAACGACTCCTGTCCAGGGGATGAGCTCGCGCTCATGGAAGACATTGCCAACCAGAAACTGAAGATCAACGCGCTTTGGGAGGATGTCGATAAGAAGAAACGAGACATTTCCGCCGTCTGGTCGCTAGTTGAAGAAAGAAGACAACAGTTATTCGCCCTACGAGCCAGACGAGCGCCCGTCACCCGTCTTCCAGACGACGTGCTGATGATGATCTTCGAAGTCGGCGCTGTCGAGATTGGATCCCGCGAGTATAGTGGTTCTATCCAGCTGTTATGCCCTCAGGTCTGTCGCAGATGGCGAGCTGTCGCATGTCACTCCCCGTATCTCTGGTCTCGATTCCAGATCTGCCACCTTCGATCTCTCGAACTTGCCGAACACCAGGCCGCCCTCCACGCTCCATATCGGTTCGGAATCCTGGTGTTCTTCGGGTGCACCGTTACTCTCAAGAGGGGAACGCTCCTCAAACGATTCTCCAAATTCGTCGCCAAGTTCCCGGATCAAATTTCGTACTGGAACACAGAGATGTGTGCTCATTCAAACAGGCTGCTGTTTACCAAATTATCAGCGACTTTTTCAACTCTGTCCAAGATGGAAGTTGTAGACTGTTTGGAATATGGAGTAAAGCACGACCCGCAACGCATGTTTATTTGGATCGGTGAAAACCAAGTCTCAGCGCCAGCGATGAAGAGAACTTACACTCGACACCTTCACCGTCCCTGCTCGCTTCTTTTGCTTTCCCTCGCTCTCCCGTTTAACACTGGTGATCCAAGAAGGTTCGGTGCAAGATGTCGGACAGCTCCTTATTGGGTGCCCTAACCTTCGGTATCTGGCTATGACCGGCGGGTATTTTAACAGGCCATCGCCGATCCGGGCAGAGCTGAAGAGTCTTGAAAACCTGACCATGACAGATTGCGGACTGGACCTGCTCAGCCAAACAGTACAGTTACCGTTACCAAGCCTTCGACGCCTTGCCGTGAACAGGAGCTACTGCGTCCGAGAACTGCTGCCGCAGCTTCCTAACCTCGTCGAGCTTTCGTTATCGGGGTCGCACACTGTACAGGAAGCAATACTCTGTCTACAGGAGCTGCCTGTGAAAGCCGCTGTCATGCTCCCGATGCTTCACACCCTTTCAGTAGAGTGGCTGTGGGAGTATCGTACAGACGTTGCCCGTTCAAAGTTGCTAGATTTTATGATCCAACGCCAATCTTCTCCCTCGCCACTTCAGCTTCTCCGCATGTGTCCGAAGCTGAACGAGGAGGACGCGGTGCGTTTCGCACAGATCGTTACTCTAGCCTAGTGGCAAGTGCCCAGACCATTCGGTATGTGAACAGTCTGCTACATTATCCATGCTCATGTCGCATAGGTATGAACAGCACTAGGATGCTTTCTCTAAACATACACCACAACGGACTTGAGACGGTATTTGTCGACACGGACAACATACCAACCAAGCGCATACATCTGTACCTCAACCAATCATGTATTCTAGTGAAAAATCGACTCTGTTTAGCACTGTCCCCCACCCGATGGGGCCTCTCCCTGGCCTCTCCTCGTCCTCAACTGGATGGCTCATGACCCAGTCGACGATTGTCCTCATATGCGGGGGGAAGTGATTCATTCGTCAATGCACGTGGAGGAAGGCGTGGCAGTTGGACTGCCGCTTGCCTTGCCAGTCTGATAGGTTGGTAGCTCATCCCCGCCCATACTCGGTTCTTGCAGCCGAGCAACATCAGCCCGATCTTCCAGGGCGCGCAGGTTGATGTCTTCTTGTACCTGTCTTGATGCGCTGCCAGGACCCATGGTCTGTCTTATAAATGCCTGCAGCGTCCGTGGGATAACGGCTGGCTTTTCGACGGGAATGGAAGAGCGGATCCAGCGGATAATGAAGATGATGATGAAGGTGACGAAACCGATCATAGCTTAGAAGAGGAATCAGATCCATGCTCATCCCGAAAATGACCAGCCAGGATCCCCGTGGTGAACATACAAATGGCGATGATTCCGGAGATTGCGGCGTTGCTGAGCCCCATTCTGAGTTCCTATCGAAGGACGAGAGGGGTTGACCGAGGCAATGTAAGAGGGAATGGGTTATGTCGTATGGCGTGCACTGCTGATATGAACTCAGACGCTAAACATCACGAGAATGCGAGTGCAAGCAATATAGAAATGAGTGTGAAGGTCTTGCAGGTGGGATAACCTGCAGAGTGTATGGTTTTCGTTTCATTTGTACTCGATAGAAAGGCAGTGCTTTCAAGTTGGCCATCGACTGCAGAAGATGTTAGCATGAGGGAAGCATTGCGGCTAACAGTGGAACAAAACGACAACCGCATATCATGTGCGTTGCGCGCCAGCAATTCCGGAATACCCGCCATCAGAGCACTCTCGGTCGGCACCGTTGTGTAAACAGCGAGGTAGATGCGGCGCTATTATAATCGCCCAGTGCGACCAGGTACCGGTGCTTTTGATCAGTTACGTGTTGGGGAAACATTTAAGAGGCAAATTCGCAATCAGTCATGATGCAAGGAGTGCCGAGTCCTGGGAGTGGGGAGCATATGCGCAAAGATTGCGATCAAGCAGAGGAAGAACCATTGGTCAACTCGGGTCAACATCGAAGTTCGGAGTTGTAAAATACCTTGAAGCCCTGATTAAGGCGGTGCAAGCTCATTGCTTCCGCCTTTCCCAACCAGGATTTGACTTGCTTTTCAGTTTAGGCAACTTACATAGCTCTGCATTAGCTGGGGCCGGATAGTACTTGTGGCCTAGAAAGTGCGTGAGTAGTTGTAGCAATATCCGTTCCTCAAGCCATCAGAAGCTCAACTCAACAGTTGAATGCATAGATCCTGACTCACGCTTACTCCATGCCGTCATACATATGCATAACAGACCACGATTGCCGCCCATCAAACAGCTGCAACTTCTCAACCACCATTCCGCCTCCCTCCAACATTCTTCAACGTTCCATGGGTAACACAAAGAAGGGCCATCGAAAGGATGTCTCTGGCGATGCCTCTGTTCACGAAGAATTCCATCTCAAGGGATTCGGGAAACGATGGAATGCCTCCTGCCCTGATGACGAGATGGCTATCATGGAAGACATTGGCAAGATGAAACTGGAGATTGACGCACTTTGGAAACTTATTGAAGGAAAGGCTCTCGAAATCAATTCCAGGGGACAGGAGTTATTCGCCTTGCGTGGTAAACGAGCGCCCATCACCCGGCTTCCTGACGAGGTCTTGTCGATAATATTCGAGATCTGGCACGCTGCCGAGCTTGGATCCCGCAAATGTACCCTCAAACGTACCACCCACCTATTATGCTCCCAAGTTTGCCGCCGATGGCGTTATGTGGCCTTTAGCACTACACAAATCTGGTCTGGATTACCAATTGACGACCTTCCATCTATGCAACTTGCCGAACACCTTGCCACGGTTCGCCCTCCACACCCTTTCGGTATTTTTGTGGCCTTCAAGTGTCACGCTAGTTCCACCAGAGGAAGTCTTATCAGACGATTACTCAAATTTATAATCGACTTCGCCGATCGAATCTTAGTTTTGAACACGGAGATGTGCCCTCATGGGGACAAACTGTTGTTCACTGGGTTGTCAGCAAACCTTCCCATCTTGACCAAGATTCGAGTTCGAGACGTTCAGAAATGTCCAACGAAAAATCCACAAGACAGTGTACTTGTCTGGACAAGCGAGAACACAGTCTCAGCCCCAGCTATGGAGGAACTGGAGCTCTCCACTGTCGCCGTTCCTACTGGCTTCATCTCATTCGCCTCAGTTTCCCGACTAACACTATCGACCTCGTCATCTTCTGAACAAGACGTGGCAGCATTCTTTCATGCGTTTCCAAACCTGCGCGACCTTACACTCACTCCAAAGAATTACACGCGCTTCCGGCCCACCTCCGATGCATATTCAACGAGCCTTGCGGAGCTGAAAAAGCTCGAAAATCTACACCTGGGATTTCATGGGATCGGAATGCTCGACGACTCCATACATCTACCCTTGGCGAACCTTCGATGTCTAACTTTGTGTAATACACAATCACCCCCCGATGTGATGAGACGGTTGTTATCGCAGCTTCCTGATCTCGCCAAACTTGCGCTGGCGGGTCCGTTAACTGTGATAAGTGTCGTCACCTGCCTTGTGAGAATGTCTCAAGATAACGCTGCTGTCCTTCCATTACTTGACACTCTTTCCGTTCAATTAATGATGGGATCTACTTTTGTACCCGATGTGGATCGTACTCGATCAGAAGTGCTCAATTATATCATTCAACGCCAAGCCACCTCTTCTCCGCTTCGACTGCTCCGTATTTCTCCGCCACTAGTTGAGGAAAGCCAAAAGCTCATCGAAGGCATCATTGCCATAGAAAATATCAATTGGCTCGGCATAACCAATGTCAAGAAGTATGTGAAGCTGTTGATACATATTTGCCTTGCTCATCTTGCATAGGTAGAAATGTTAGAGCGGACTATCACGAAGCAAACGTGAAAGTAGAAGAGGGAATCGCCGCAATATATCCGTTCGAGGGCGACATTCGAGGCAATGATTCAGTACACATGCTATGTACCGTAGCTGATATCTACACACATGGCGAAGAATCAAGTCATGCCAGCTTCCACCCCTGTACTTGCCCCATCGTCCGGCCCGGTTCGGCGATTCTCTTCGTATAGAGGAGGAAGCGATCCACTCGTCAGTGCGGGTGGAAGTGGGCGCGGGAGCTGAATCACTTCATCCTTGGCGGCAGCCTGATAAGTTGGTAATTCGTCTCCTTCCCTTGTCGGTTCTGGTAGTCGGACAACCCCCTGCCGAGCGCCCTCTTCCATTGCTTGCAATTCGATATTCTCCTGTCGTTGTCCTGACCGGCGGACATTGACTTCTCCGCCAGTAAGTGCCTCCAGAGTGCGCCGGCTGACTCGAGGTTTCTCGGCTGGGACGCAGCGTCCCGCCCAACATAGAAAGACGAAGATCAGGAGCGCGAGGAACGCGATGATTGCTAGAAGGCGCAACGAGATCAGATATCTGCGTTTCAACTAGCACGACCGAGAGGTGAATTAGTACACTTACAAAAGGCGACGGCCGCTGATAATGCGGTACGGTTGAGCGTCATTCCGAGTTCGTTAGACAGGGGCACAATCTTGAGCCACTCAAGCCAGCGCAAGGCTAGGAGCAGGAAGTACCGAGCTTGGTTGTTGTTCTGAAGCAGCTACTGAGACGGCCTCATAACGACGCGAGCGCGATCATCGTCAACAAGCAGTCGGACTTGACAGTCCTGTACTAGTAAGTGCAGGGGACGTGGTACGCAGAGCTGCAGAGTGGGCCGCTGGCTGTGGTGCATTTGTGCGCGACTGAGAGAAGGCAGTGCAAGCTCCTGGGAATGTCCTGGACAATATTGCCGGCTTGAGGGATGTGACGGAGCAGCGGAACAAAGCGGATCGTGGTAAATTGTACTAATGGTGTTGGTCGCAGCAATTCTTAGTTTTGTCCACATAGAGGTAGCACAGCCAACCCCGCACCAATGTGCCGACGTGCCGATATGTGGACTGACCAACTGCCGTGATCATGCAGTGCTTGCAGAGCCTCACCTGTCAATCGGCGGTGTTGCCCTTCATCCCGGAACTCGTGATGTCCATGACTCAGAATAGATACTTATATCAGTGCCTCAAAAACGACTTCAGAAGGAGCGGTTTGGCTTGAGGGAAGAAGTGGAGCATCAGCATCAGTGCATACCAGCCTCGTGATTCGGACAGACAGTGTGCGCCGTGTCTGCACGCGACCCATTCCCAGGTTCAGGTGACTAGCATTGGAAGTAAAGAACATGCATAGAAGAGGAGAGGCCACAAAGGAGGGTAGCCCCTCCACCTGGCGTCAGCAACCCCGTCCCTCCTCTGCGCTGGTGGAGTGAACGACAACCGTCTCACTAGGTCCAGCACTCTCCATAGCTCCATCCTCCCCTACCTTCTCATACCCTGGCGGTAGGGACCTAGTACTGACCTGCCTGGAGATTGCACGCTGAGGGACGTCTACCCGCTCGACCCACCTCCCCGCCCCAGGGCTGAGTAAGGTATCCCTCCCAGCTTGTGAATATCCAGGTGGGTCCCCTCCCTCTGCAGTCTGTCTGATCGTCTCCGTCGGAGGGGGCCTCTCTGTCTCTGAAAGACCGGGGAAACGCCAGAGTGTCGTCCGCACTGGGGGTTCGACCGGAACGCGTGGCACGTACCGTGCTGCGACACAATTCGGACCGACGGGGCGCCATTGAAGTTCCATTTGTTGGGAAGAGGCGGAAGTCAGCACCTGCGGACGCTGAGCAGGCGGAGGACGGGGAACACCACCAATCGTTAGGGTGTCGTTGCTAGCATGAGCTCTCCAGGTGAACTCGCGCGCTTCGAGTTCTGTGCGTTCTGCGCGTTCACAGGAACGGTCACCTTCCAGGGAGGCGCGGAATCGCCGGTGGGAGTATGCGAGCATACTGATACAGACGACCATAAGGGCGATGATAGCTGATTACCGTGCCAGCGTTAGGCGTCGTACACCGGATAGGTGGGATGTAGGATGCAGGTGTACGAATATAAGGGGGGATGCAGAGGAGGGTATGAGCGCGGGCGCGGCGATGAGTGGGTGGGGATGCTTACGCAGAACGATGATTGCTGCGAGCTTTGCGGATCCGTTGGTGGGGTCAGAATCAGATGTCATGGGTGGTGATGGGGATGCCATGGTGCTGTTAGCGACCTGCAGCCCCGGTATGAGTTGGGTATGTAGGATGGATGGTATTGAAGGGAGAAGAAAGCATGCGGCGACTCCCTGCTAAGAGCTGTACATAACCCCTCGGTAAGTACTGGCAAGGAACAACGTGCAAGGAGGAAGTTGAGCGCTGGCAAGATGGGAATGGACCGCTAATATCTGGACTTGGATGAAGAAGTAAATTCCAACCAATCAGGCACAGGTCAGGGTCCAAAGCTGCTTCCGATCCGAACCCCGAGCTGCGGGATTTGTCTATTATTAGTCTACAACGTGGTTATCACGTTGCAGGTCATATGATGATGCCATATTAGAATTGGGACCGGCAGAGAGGACACGAACTCTGGTTGCTCGTGTTGAACCACTTGTAGAGGCAGCTGTTGTGGAACAGATTCCTGCACGTTTTGCACGGTTTTGTCGGCAGGGAACGATCTGTTGTGCTAATGACCCTGTACTCCAGTCAGCAACCACCCTATCCATTGGAGGACGAAGACGTACGAATAACAGATCGCACACTCCGTCACACCTTCAAAGTACAGCGTGACATTCTTCTTAAACAGCACGAGCGCGTCGAGCAAGAACCCGTTCTGGCTCGTAATCGTCTGCTGCACTTGTAACATCCACTGCCTCCATTTTTCCACAGGCACCCCAACCCGCTTGATGTCTCGAACCTCAACACCATGTAGGGGAAAATCGGGGGGTAGGCGAATCCCGAGCTCCATCTGCTGTTCGTCGATAGTGTACGTTACACTGACCTCATTGACATTTGTAAGCACTTTGAGAGAGAGGCTCTCGTGTGCCAGCTCTTCTTCCGCCGCTGGCAGTTTCAGCTTGGCAAATTCGGCGTTGACGAGGAGTGGAGAGAAGTGGGAGCTGGCGAATGACGCAAGCGCAGTAGAGAGATGTCGGTCCTTGATGTCCATCCACCAAGTGCGGACGAGCGAAGGGATGGTAGAGAGCGCACGGTAGAACAGGTGTGCTGCTAACACGGAGAGGGCGAAAGGGGATGAAGCAGAGTAGAAAGCAACGTGAAACTCTTCAATATTCCAGAGCTCGACTTTGAGCGGTCGGCCGGTCTTGAGGATGGGAAGTAGGGGAATGAGCGAAGGGAAGAGGGAACGCCCAAGGAGTTCTCCACTCCGGAGTTGCTCGACATAGTTTGATTTCAGTGCCGGAGACTGTCATTGGGTTAGAATGGGAGCTATTGCAGGAGGACTAACTTACAGCATCTACGAAGAAGTCAAATAACACCATCCAACCCAAAAGCCTCCCAAAGGTTTCCGACGCAGAAACATCGTCCTCGTCGATCACTTCCAATGGCTCCAATAGCAGAGTGATGAGTTCTGGGGGAAGGTTAAACAGAGGCTGAGGGACAGAATCTTCTTCCTCAGACACTCCCGATGTCCCGACGGCCGCCTCTACTACGCGCTGCTCAGTGATCTTGGGTATTGCTGTGTGTAGCAGGTGATATGCGGTCTTCTGCACTTCAACAGACGCGTCTGACAGCCGGGCATACATCTGGACTCAATCAGGCCCAGTTCAATGTTTGGATCTGCGAAACGTACCGCCTGCATGGTCGTGTCATCCACCAATGAAGGCGGAAGTGCTTGTGCAAGTTCGATCACGCGATCACGGCATGCGCGCTGCAATTGTGACCGTTGATCCACGTCTGCAGCTAGGTTACAGTACAATGGCGAAGCCGAGCTGAGACTTTGCGTACCGAGTTTAGAGAGGAAAATATCTCGAACTACCTGCATGGCCTGGCTCTCATGGTCCGCCCATGCTTCTCGTAGCACGCTGCTGGCCACAGCAAGTTCTCGAATAGTCCCAACCAGCTTGAGTGAGCTGTACAGCATGGGGAGATCAAGGTCTCCCGACGTGCTCGCTTCCAAGTTGCTCTCCAATAGCTCGAATATCAGGTCCCAGTGAGCACCAGGAACGTCGAGTATGACCGGTGCCAAAACTTCGAGTAGGTCGCCTAAACGGCGATCTATTTCCTCATCTAGATCTTCGTCACTCAACATCCACTTCTGCAAACCTTGGATGAGGAATATAGTGCGCTGCTGGGGTATGAATGGACTGAGTGAATCAGGTGACGGGGCGGAGGCGATGAGCAGGCGAAGAAGGGGCAGACCATGCGAGTCAGCTCGGGACGGCGGAACGCCAGACAGACGGCTAGCAAGTTCGTTGTGGTAGCGATTCAGCCTTGGTGATTCAGCGAGAGGGTCCTTGATAGCCAGGATTATGCTCATAGCAACAGTTGGATCTAAAACACCTCAGCCGTCGGCCAGTGAGGGAAAATAGTACCTACGTTTATCTTCCATGTTCTGTGCCATCGCCAACCAGCGTTCGAGATCTATAATAGTAGATCTCCGAGCAATTTGCTCCAGAATGTGTCGCAGCACGCGAGCACCCAGCACCGACTTGCCATGTATGGCATTTGAATACACTTCGACTACCAGGGTTGCGAGATGATCTTCCGGGTGATCTGCTTGTCCGTGCGGTTTCCTCAGATGAGCGATGGTCGATTGATGCCAGGCGGACGGAAGATCTCCAACAGATGAGGAGAATGTATGCGGGACAACCCGGTCCACCAGGTTGATCAGCTTCTGCAGGTCTGAAATATTCGCATCGGGTCCAAATGCGACATTGACGAGACCTGGCTCCGAAACAAAGTCGTGTGCCAAAATTGAAATAGTCAAGAGATGTTGCACAGCCCAGTATGCGCTCGATGGCAAAGCCACAGACTTTCCACCTGTGAGGGCTTGGGACAGCGCTTCTGTCAGCCGTGCGTATACGGTATACGAGCGAGTGTCCGAGTGTCCTGCTTTCGTAGGTCTATCAACTGAGGTAGCTGGAATTAAAAAGTCGACCGCCGACAGGACAGGGTCGAAGTGCGTGTGTAGCAGCTCGTCCAGATGTTTCTGGAAGACGCGGGGTGGAAGCAAGTCCCCTCTTTGTGGTGTAGGGTTCAGCAGAGACATATGCTGAGCATATGCGTCGAATATTTCCGAAGGTCTGGCGATCACCGACACGTCCTCAATGCATTGTCGCACCGCCTGTCGAACTTCTTCCACGACCTTTTCTTTCGATCCCTGAGCAGGACCAAGCCATTGATCAAACACTTGCCGTGTTATAGCAGTCGTCGTGGAGTTAGGATGACAACAAGGAAGAACGAAAGCAGCCAAGAAGAGGGATGGAATAATCCCTTCCGTGAGGTCGACGCTCTTCACTCTGAGGGAGAGGGGAATACTGTGCAATGTGCTCAGGAGATGAGGGAGCCTTTGCTCATGTTCAGAAGACCGCAGGCTCTGCTGGAGGGATTCGTTAAATAGCTGGCCAAGGGAACGCAATAGCACGTTCGTCGTCTCCTCGTCCAAGAAACGTTCTGCGGGGGATTAGACATGGCAGCCAGACTGTCATTCATTAGGGTACGCACCATGATACCTCAATAGACTGCTCAGTGGCACATCCCCTTGGTTCCGCTTAGAATGAAGCAAGAGGTCAAGCGCCAAATTTCTCAGTTCCGATTTGGGATGCAGCGGCCTTGAGAGCACCCCTTGCGAGACAGAACGATACAGTTCCTGTAGTACGCGAGTATCGTATCCCTCTCCAACGCCTGCATCCCCGACCTCCGAGAGGACTGCGCTCCACATGTCGTCCGCCTCCTCTGTGCGGGCATGATTCAGGTGATGCACTAGCAGCGCCGCCGCCTCTTTTGGGCCGAACGCGCGGGCAGAGATGAGCGCCGGCAGGTGCTCGTGAAGCATCGCCGTTAACGTCTGGTCAAACGCGGGGTCGGAGCACAGAAGAGGAGCGAAATGTTGCATCATGCCCAAAAGGCTGTCCCTTGCTTCTGCTTCTGCCGCTCCTTCGGCTATAGGACGCGTACCCTCCCAGTTTACTGCTGCGAGGGTGCTCCCTGCGTACTGGAGCACAAACTCTCGCAATGCCGGTTCGCAGGGTGTGCCATGGACGGCCGTGTGGAGCGTACTGAGCAGCTTGGGCACGCCAGGAGCAGAAGACTGAGAAAGCTTGGTCGTGAGCGGTACCCAGGCTGTCGAGAATAACACCGCGTCCACAGTCGAGAGGCGAACAAGGGTGGGGGCGATCGTACGTCCTATGTCGGCGTCCCCCAGGAGGATAGGGTTCTCCAGGAGAAGACTGGTGAGACGCTCGAATTCCTGCGCGATAAGATACTGTACGCCTTCCCTGCTCGCGTGTGGGTACAGCGGAGTAGCGTTCCAAGCTTTGCCAGAAAGATAGACCATGCTTTCCAATAGTGCGGCAAGGAATGCCCGTTGTCCAAGAAGGTCGTTAGCCCGGAGTATATGGTCGTCGGACACAGCGCGAAAAGCGCGGAAGAGTTCGAGCAAAGAAGGCCTGGAGAGGGGGAGGATAGAGGGAGGGAGAGTGGAGAGGATCACTAGGACTGTCGGATAGCCGGAAGTGGGGGAGCCCCGGCAGGCTGTTCGAAGGAAGTCGAGGAATTCCGAGTAGGCGGGGGAGGGAGAGGGGATGAGCGGGGCAGAGGGGTCGGTTCGTGGCGGAGTCGGTGTAGTTCTTTCCTCTTCTTCTGCTTCGTCGCCATCTTCCTCTTCCTCTTCGTCCTCTTCCTCCCCATCTTCCACAGACCTATCCTCAACCTCCCAAGCCTCGGGAAATTCTACACTCCAGTCAGCTCCACCCCCAATACCCTCAGGAACGACTCACTGGTCAAGAAACTCAACAGAGGGACCCACATTGCCCCCCTCACCCCAGGTTCCGGCTCGACCCACGCACTCCTGAGCACAGCGCGTGAAAGGATTTTCGCGAGTTGTGGGGGTTCTTGTGGTGTGGAACTGGAGGCTGTTGGTCGGACAGCAGAGGGGAGGACAGCCCATTTGCTTAGGAGGACGTTAAGCACTCCCCAGGCTGCTCTCCTCACACCTATCTGCGAGTATCCGAAACCCTCTTCTTCGTTTGTGCCGTCTTGGGCGCTGAGCCAAGGCGGGTGCCTAAGCGGCGACAAGTGTGTCCAGAACAGCGGCGAGAGAAGTAGTTCTTCCGCTCCTGCAGGCAAACCCTGATCCTGTGCCCGAGGATAGGTTTCTACTCCCATCAACCCACGCACCAAAAGAAACAAGATAGAGCATACCAAGCACCCACGCCAAAGCGCCCAGCGCCCCAGTCCTCAGTCTCCCCACTCTCTCCTCCTCCAATTCCAGCTCAAGCTCCTCCCGCCTCGGCTCCTCTTTCTGCGGCAGCGGGTGTTTGGCGCCTCTTGTAGGTAACGGAGGGGCAGGTGCAGAGGGAGGGTGTAGTTGGTGGTAGGTTGAAAGAGGGGAATAAAGGGTTTTGGAGAGGAAGGCTAGGAGTTGAGGTGCTAGGGAGGTGGGGGTGAGGAGGAGTTCTGCCTGTTCTGTTTTTTTGCCTTCCGTTGTCTGGAGTCCATCGTCCCCTTCACCGGATCCCGTGCTAGAGCTCGAGCTCGCCCAGGAAATACCCTCCTCCCAAGAACCCCTTCCCACCTGCCCCACCCCTCTATCGGGATCGAAAGCCGCCAATCCCCAGCACCCCAACACCCGTTCTTGTTCTTCTTCCGGTGCATCTACTACATACCCGAGTACTTGGGCTCGCAGAGGGGAGGAGAGGAGGAGGGCTTGGGCTTGAAGTGTTTGGAGTCGGAGGGAACGGGATGGGTGGATGAGGAGCGCGGGAAAGTGGTGGTACTGCCCCAGGTAAGCTGGATATACAGCTAGAAAGAAAGAACGTACCCAAACTGGGATTGCGGCCTGAAGACCTCCCTGTTCTTCCGCTCCAGCGCGCATGACCCATTCCCCCAGCTCCGTCAACGCCCTTGATCGGGTAGTCACATCCTTCTTCCCCAGTCTCCGGAGCACGACGACCAATTCCGCAGGCAACGAATGCACCAGCCCCAGCGTGTCCAGTGGGTCTGGCTGCAGGGGCGTATATTTTGGTGGAGGAATGTACACTTTCTGTTTTGGCTCCTTAGATTTCTTCGTTCCTTTCTGTTTTGGCGCAGGCGGGAGTTGGGGTTCACCATGCTTCGCTGCATGTTTCTTGCGCGTCGCACTAGATGCAGACGACTTTTGACCTTTTGCCATGTCTAGTATAGTCCTTTCCGATAAGTATAGCAGATATTAATCCGGTCTAAAGCAGTGTACAGTCTAGTTGTTGAAGTTCAGACTGTCGCACGATGGAGCGGACCCTTTGGCGGGGGCAAGTCACCAGTTCTCGGCATTGATATGCCGATCCGATCGTACCACATTACTAGTACTGTAAGTACTCCGCAGTTGATATTATTCATCTCCAACTTGACCTTGTACTTCAATAGCATCTCTTGACTGTTGACCATCAACTGTGCTATTTGACCATCGATCCAGAACCAACATCTACTCATCAGCAACGTCTACAACCATATTACTCTTGGAATTCAGTTACTCGTCCCCAAATAATGTAAGCCCTAGCCCTCCTCCTCATAGCCCGTACGCCCTCTCTCACATTCCATAACCTCCCTGCCATAACCTTCTAACATCCCCGCAGTAGGAGGCACATTCCTCTCATTCCTCCTCTTCCTCTTCTTCCGGCACCGCCAACGCCGTCAACCACAGGACCCTTCTCTAGCCACAACACTGCAGGCACTAGGCTACGGCCCTCGGCAGTCCGAAAACTGGTCCGAGCTCCGTCCTCTACCTCTTGCATCACGTACCGTCCGTCAAGGAGAAGGACAGAAAGGGGGAGAAGAGCTCCCGGGTTATACGCCTTCGCCGCCCAAGTACCCGCCCCCTGCATTTCCCACAGAGTTGGAGGCGATCACTTCGCCTCCTCCTGCACGAGCAAGACCAGCTAACCCCCCTGCGTACGCACCGACGGGGTGGTAGATGCGCGCAGTTTAGGGTGGTACATGTGTTGTATCACGGGGATGGGAGAGGGCTTCGGCCGCTCGGCACCGGTATATACTGTACAGTAAGCGCCGGTTCCGGCCGGAAGCTCGTCCCGGTGGCATGCACTGCTCAACCTCGACTCCGAGTCATCCCTCGCTTCACCCAAACAAAAGAACACGAGACCTCACAGCCCTCATCCCTGCTCTCCACGTCATCCGCATAAGCACGAGCACCGCAGGGATCTGGCCATGTCATCAGATCACCATGCGCAGCTGATGGGGGGATATAAGCGCCTGCGCTTCTTGCCTCCTCAGACCGAACTTCTTGGATCAAACTCCTTGGATCGAATTGTTTGCTGTTTCGCTGGCCGATACTTAATAACCAACATTTCTATCTCCCTAATTCCAACATAATCCCATAATGTCCGTTGCCACTGGTGGACTAGCACTAATCCTCATAGCCGGTACGCCCTTTTCTACCACAAGCTATTGACTCAGCTGACCTCTCAAAGGAGGAGCGATCATCCTAGCGATGGTCGTCTCTATCTTCTTCCGGCTCTTCCGTCGCTCACAAAACCCAACACCGGATGGTCGAGCACTAGAAGCCTACCCACCCGTGCAGTCCCAGTACCTGCGATCTCAATACGGCCAGTACCCGCAATATCGCTACACCCCTCAAGTGGCCCTAGCGCTCAGGGACTGGCAACGCCAGCCCCCTGTGCACCGGATTCCAGAAGCGCCAGCAGAAGGAGAGCAGCTCCCGAGCTATCAAGATGCTGGGAAAGACGTCGTCCTCCCTGTGCTGTATTCCAATGCGCCGCCAGCGTTACCCCCTCGGCGAATATCGCAGGAAGAGGTCGCCGTTCCCCCGGAGGCGATGATGAGGCCCCGACCACCTCCTCCGGGGTATGAGACTGCGAGCGGTTGGAGAGCTTACTGACCCTCTTTGGCCATCTGAATTCGAGGCTGGGTGGACACCGATGATGCTGTTGGAGATCGAGGCCTGCGCACGGGGATACGGCTCCGGATGCGGAAGCGGATGTCCGAGATCCGACCCGGCCGATGCCGATGCACAGCCTGCAAGGCACAGGGGGTGGCCGGATTTGGCGCCCAGATGTTGGTGACACGGGCGCCGAAGGTCTGTGTGGATATCATCACCACATACTGGACGACGATATATCTTTACATCTTATTCCAATCTCTATCTACATGAGAAAGGCGGCGGAAGGAAGCATGTGATGAGACTGGACGAGATAATTGAGTATTTTTTTGCGTGGATTGTAATGTATCGAAGATCGTGCTTGTTGTACTTTACCTTATTGTCAATGTTTATAATGCTGAGACCATCAGTGTAGTTTCATGCTGCTTTGGAGTTGTTCCATTGTTGGCAAGAACTGTGACAGTGATACAATTTCTGACAAGGGTAGCGTCACCGCAGCTTCACTCGTTGTGGAGGGTTATTTCTCGGTGTGGATTTTTCCATTATATGCAAAGAAGACTGCTCTAAGCCGAAAGCGAGGCCTCTTCCCTCCTCCCCTCCTTAGCCTCAATCTTCTCCTTCGCTATCCTGATTTTCTCCAAGAGCATCTCCCTCCTCTCTTGAACCTTCCTCCTCCCCTCCTCCCTCTCCTTTTCTTCCTCTTCCTCCTTCTCCTCCTTCGCTTTCTGTTCCTGGACAGCCAGCACCGACCTGTCCTCTTGGAGCTTAGCGAGGCGCGTCGCGAGCGCCTTCTTCGAGCGGTGGGAGAGCCGTTCCTGCGGGGGGAGGAAGGCGCCCAAATGACTCGCATCAACAGAAGGCTTCTTGACCTTCTCCTTCTTGGGTTTCTCTTCCTTCGTTGGTTCCATAGGGGCCGCAGCTGGCTCAGCGGCCTCGGGAGGGGCAGGTTCGGCAGGGACTTGACGTACAGGGAGGGCGGTATCCCACCCTAGACGTTCAGCTTCCTTCTTGCTGGCTTGGCGGATTTTGTGCAGGGCTTCCCGGGCTGCTTTTACGACGTCTACGTGTCCCGAAGGTGCCTCTGTAACCGTTGCAGTGCTTGCATCGATCGTCGTCTCAGCGGTTTGGTCACTGACTACCGTTGTCGTATGAGTAGGTCCAAACCCTTGCCAACCCTCCAATGACCTAAACATATCCAAAGTCTTGAGCCTCGACATCTGCCTGTTGGACTTTGCTTGTGCCTTTGGGGTTATGAACCCTCCGGGGAGCCCAGTGTGTCTCGTGATTCTCAGCACGGCATTATCTGGCTTGTCTGGGAGAGGCGGTTCGGAAGGGGATTCGAAAGAGGAGTCCAGTGAAGATTCAGGAGACGAGTCGGGAGAGGAATCGGTGGTCTCCGAGCGGACGAAGGAGATGTCTGGTGATGGGCGCAGGAGGCCGGAGAGAGAGGAGAGAGGTATCCCTCCTGGGGAAGGGGGAAGCACGGGCGGGAGAGAGACTTCGAGCGTTGTTCCTTTTCCTATTTCTGTGAGGGAACTGGGAGAGGCGAAGAATACCCATAAATAGGGTGCGTAGGTGAGCAGCTCCGGGTCCTGATACACATTAGTGTGGACAAGGGTGCTTAAGGAGAAGAGAACGCACCCGACCAAAGATGACGTTCTCTACCGATCCATAAGCCTCTTCAACTGCGCGCACCATAGCCATCCCTTGAGGTATCCCTGCAATAGGCCCTCTACTCCTGACCAACACTGCACGATCGGTGTTTGTCCATTTTCTGAGGGAGGGTGGGACGACGTTCAGGTCGAAGAGGCCATCTGGTGTTGGTGTGGATGAAGTGGAAGGGGGAACTTCGGGTAAGGATGTTGTTAGAGCTCGTCGGAGGGGGGTGGGTGCCCATCGTGTGGCCCTCAGCGTTGAGGAACGATACATCGCTCTGTTCATAGCAGCGCTCAGTAGAGACAATGAACACACAGGAAGACCAACAAGGAAAAAATAGCACCGCCACTGCACGCTTAGCACCGCCCCCTCGCCTCATTCTCACGCGTCGCCGCCGCTTACAGGACTCACATCTTTCCACTTCTCCTTCTCCCCTTCAAGCACATCAACACCTAGGAATGGCAGAAGTAGAACTCTCAGCACTGGACATTTCCCTTGAAGACCGCATCGCTGCTTCCAAGTCCTCTCGCGGTGGGGGAGGGGGAGGAGCAAAACGTTCCGACCGTCGAGAAAGGAGAAAAGCGCGTTCAAGTACAGGCCCGTACGAGGTGGGTCGTGCTCGACTCACGTAGGAAACACGCTTGACAATCACCGCGTTGCCGCTTTTTTGTCTGGTAGAGGGAGCAGAGGCTGCCGTACTCGAAAGGCAACTCGGACGAACAGTGGGGTCATGACCTTTACGGTGACAAAAAGAACCGTCAGTTCGCCTCTTCGGGGCAAGAAGAACGCGGGCGGGGAAAGGTAGACTTTTCGGGTGTGAAGGACCTTTTGGGCGGGGGAGGGTTGAGCGTGCGAGGTGCGAGTGGGGAGAAAGGGCGTGTAGTGAGGATCGAGAACCTCATGGAAGGGACCAGTGCTGCTGATGTTGAGGTGCGCTTCCTTCTTCCTTCTTCCCACTTTCCTGTTCAGCTTCTGAATACTGGCTGCAGGCGATATTCAAAGAAGCCGGACCCGTCAGCTCCTCAAAGCTCACACGCACAAAACCTACCGTATCAGTCGAACTGGTATACCGCAACCCGCAGGATGCGGAAGACGCCGTGCGGCGGTACGATGGGCAGATGGCGGATGGACTCACTTTACGAGTTTCTATTGTCACTGATTCCAATGCTGGAAAGAGGGAGGGAGCAGGGGGGAGGGACTTGCTATCTCGGGTTGGGACGAAAAGGGATCTGCTGGAAGATGATACCTTCGTTTCGTGAGTCAATACATTCCCAGCCATTGGAGTGTTCTAATGCGAACACCAGCAAAATGCGCTCGGATACCATGGATCAACCTGGGGAGAACCGTGGTTCCAGAGGCCGCAGGGGTCGTGGACGAGGCGGGAGGTCCTGAGCCCTGATAGTGAGTTTGCACGTGTTCTTTCTCTCTATTTGATCCTTTGTTTGTGCTTTAATTCGTGCCTTGACGGCATATGCAATGACAGTCTCCCGCTCCCACATGTTACCGCTTTGTGTCCTCGCTCTCCCCACTATCTCGCGTTTCTCCGTAGTCAGGTATAAGGGCCAGGCTATGTCAAGGCAGCGAAAAGCGGTTCAGGCGGCGCAACGACTGCAGGTTGGTATGGTGTGGTTGTTCATGATACATAGGTATAGGATACGCCGATAGCCCAAAAACAAAGATCATCACATACACTCGTCTCCCATTCACTAACCCATACCTCTCGTACACCCTACGCACCCCTTCATGTCATGACCCTCTTCTCGCACTCGGCTCCCCAGCATCCTCCCTCCCACTCTCGCCCAAACTAGCATCATAAGGCGGTGGCTCCCCCATCCCCGCTCTCCCAGTCCCCGTGTACACCATCTCGGGATACGTCAACACAACAGGGGACTTCGCCGCGACTTTATACTCTGGCAACTGCTCTCCTGTCTCGGGGTTCGCACCTTCGGGCCAGCGAGAGACTCGAGGTAATTGGAGTTGTGCGGGGAGGAGAAGAGGAGGTGCGCCGCCAGCTTCGAGTTGGCTTGTGTAGTATGAGGGTTGTCTGACTGGAGGGCCGAACGGAGCGCTAGGGAATCTGCTGGCGAGCATTTGTTGGCGAGAGTGGTATCGTCTAACAAATAGGAGACTGGAAACTAGAAGGCTTAGGCCAGCCACTGTTTACAAAACATAGGAGTCAACAGAAGTAGCATAAAACGAAAAGGAGGCGTACTCAAGACGATGACGATCGCGACAGTCTGGTCCCTCTTCTGGTCCGTACCGGTCGTTACAGTCCCATTACGGTTGTCCATTTCGATTCTAACTCATGCCTCTAACGTCTACGCAGTGGTGGTCGTGGTGGTCGTGCGTTGTTGAGCTCGTCGAGGAGGGGCGGAGAGGGCGCATATGTACGTACGCCCAGGGTGCGGAGTCAACACCGGATATGTCAGCTGGAGCGGAACACCCCTATACGAGGCGGAGGGCGTGGGGTACAGAAATTACCTTTGAATTGAGTGTGCGCAGCATATGTCGTACCGCTACAATGTCAGCCGACAGGGACGGACGGACGTAGAGTGGATGGGCGTCGCCTCGGGCCGGGGTGAATTAATTGGTGGACGTTACGAGAGCCAACGATGGCACGTGATGCCATTATTTTTAGGAAAGGCCAAGGGAGCGTTGATGCCACGAGCGGAGAGCATGAGATAAGGAGAAGAGTCAGTTCAGAAAGCTTTCCAGTTTCGGTCTAGACGTGAACAGGTATATCACATTAATAAACCCTACACATATTCACAGCCAACCGTGCCCAACAGGAAAGGATGCCAAATCGGAGCAAGAGGCGAAAAGTGTACGTCAGGAATAAAGCACCTGTCCTTCGTTACGTCTGCAAGGTTGCGCAATAGGAGAGAATCAAATTCTATGGAGGGAAAGAGGTTGGCACGCTCTAGCTTGAGGCTGAGGAAGGAGTTCACCTGCGACTGCTGCCGTACTTCGTTTTCGAGAGATCGAATGGCACGTATTTGTACTTGATCATATGCCTGTGCAAGGGTCAGCTTGCGATGACCAACAACAAGGGGAAACACTAACCGGATCTGCCTACGCATCGTGATGGTGAAGAGTATGAAGAAGTAGACGACGAGGATAGGCCAGTACACAGGCACGTCAAACACTCTCGTAATCGTGCATCCGAGGGCGATAAGCGTAGCGCGAGTTGCTGCGATCCTATTTAACGAAAGCGACGAAAAAGGAAGCAGGCGATCGTATCAGCGCTGTACACCGAAGCTATAGGAACAAGATACGCACCAGAATTTCCACTCTGGAAGCCTCCTAATAAACGGACGGAACTCGTCGTCCTTCGCGCTTGTTGGCAACCCCTCCTCGCCGCCCTCTTCAACGGAGGTCTCCATCGCGTCTTGTTCGATGGAGGGGTCGAATTTTGGTTGAAGGAAAGCAAGAAAGAGATTGAGAAGGTAAATGAAGAGAGCATCTGATGACGAGAGTTAAGTGGGACCCAGAGTGTGACGAGCAAGGGTATAACATACAGCACACTGAGAGCGCGTCAGCAAGGGATGCAAGGCAAGGGATGACATAACGCACCAATATACCACTGCACAACGCAATCCCAGCACCCAAAGTTCAGTAAACCTCCGCACACAGTCCCGCATACCACTCACCCCTTGCGCTACAAGGATCCTAACCATGAACAGGGCGAGCAAGACGCCCGTAGCCAGCCACCGTTCGACCCATTTCGGCGCTGTCCGGTCGAGATACATCTGGGCAATGCGCATGTACTTGTTCGCTTGCTGGATGGCCTCATTTATCGGCGGTGCCGCTGTAGGACCGTCCATCGTGTCGTTCAGTCGTGAAGGAGAACGTAAACGTAAGAAAAGTGAAAGAAAGTCCGACGTCGAGGGAAAGCGCTCAGTTTGAGCACATGAAGACGTGTTCTGGATTGAACTGCGCCAGTGGCTGTGCACTCACGTGGAACCCTTTGCTGCTCGCGTATTTTTTGCGCGTTGCACGCCCTTTTTCTCTTTTTTTTCTTTACCAGCTGACCTCCGGGTCTTGCTCTCGACGCTGCAGCGAAGGACCGCCAGCACAGTTACACGCATGGGAATAGGTGGTTTATGCCAACCTCCTTCCTCAGTCTACTGTGGGGAAAGTCCCCGGAGATCCTCGCAGGGTGGTTGGCTCCCCTCACCGAGTCCGTCCGTGCCGTCCGGCAGTCCCGCTACTGGACAACTCCCAGCCGTCGCCTTTCGCTCAATGCAGCAGCTGATGACCCCTATATCTGGCTACGCGGCGCATGCGTGGAAAGCGGCTGCCTTTAAGCACGGCAGGGATGCGTGTGCTGGCGAGCTGGGGTTAGGGTAGGCTGTTGTACTCGGGTGATGGGTTGACGACCGGGGGCGCGCGAACGGGCAAGGAAAGGGAGACAGTGGGGAATGATTGGCTGCTAGACCTCCTGTGCTTGCCCTTGCGTGGATAAGCACGGGAGGTGCACCATTATCCCCTCCTCTGCGGCGGCAGTCGACCTCCTTTTTGGTTCTGGCTTGGTACTCGTCTCCTCGACTCCGGTGCTTCGTGTTCGAGTAGGCAGGAATCAGCATAGGCGAAGATACGAGCCGTGCTGGGGAATGTCTGCTTGCGCAATGGGCGGGACGGGCACGTTGCTAGGCAAAGAGGATCAAGGTCCGGTCGCAACAATGTTCCTCATTGTTGATAGTTATGCGGTCCTGTGCTGAGATGTCTCCTCATTGGAGACGGAGCCTAGAACACAACGGGGCTTACTCTCGCGCAGCGTACCAATTTTTTCCTTTCCCCTCTTCGGAGGATCATTGGAACACCTGATAGCTGGAGGATAGGAATGATAGGTGAGTGATGCTCCGTAGTAGACAAATGATGCCTACTTTGTAGAATTTCTTCAGGGAGATATTCGCAGCTACGGCTGTGGAAAGGCTCCAGAACTTGACACCCCTGATCTCCTTGTGGCTGGTCTGTTCATGATGAAATTGCTGACAATTGCTAGGTGCGGCTAAAATATTTAGTCGATAAAACCATAACCCATGAAAATGTAGAGAATGGATGTCATAATGTTGGAAGCCATTCTATGATAAACACTGTCCATATCGTTATCAATAATGTAAATTTCAGCAAAGATATTTTATTATTGTTGGATATCCCTCGTTAGTCATCGGTGCCGTTGCACACGACCCCAGGCGCGTCGGAACCAATGCAATCCACGTGTGGCGCCGACGTAGGTTCTCAGCGCTCGACAAGTCCCTTCAGTCAAAGTCAACGCACAACGAACAATCCTCACGCTCACGCTCGCCGTATATCCTCTTTCTCTACCAACCAATTTCCTCACGTCTTCTGCACAGACACTCTGAGTACAACTCAAAATGGGAGGCTGTCAGTCCTTGAATGCGCTGAGAGAGAATTGAAAGAACTGACAAAGATGACGCAAGGGTGGTTGTTCCTCTTTGCGGTGCTAGGTGCCGCCGCGCTGCTGTTCACAATGGTGTTCTTCGTGCGTCTTTTCTATCTTTTATCTCATAAGAATGAGATATACTAACATGAGCTGCAGATAATCATGTTCTCCGACCTGGAATGCGACTACATCAACCCTATCGACCTATGCAACAAGCTCAACCAAGTGCGTCTCCTCTCAACCTAATCGTGTCCAATCCCAGGATTCTGACGCAGTTGCTATGTGATCGTCACAGTTCGTCTTACCAGAAATGATCGCCCATGCAATTCTCACCGTGTTATTTTTACTCTGCGGGCAATGGTTCACCTTCCTGCTCAATGTGCCGTTAGTGCTGTACAACGCAAACAAGTGCGTCTCCTCCCAACACCTTCCTGCCGTGGATAGCACGCAGATGCTGATGATGCTGAATAGGGTAAATAAAAAGAACCACATGTACGACGCGACGGAGATTTTCCGGACGTTGGGTGGACATAAACGAGAGTGTTTCTTCAAGCTTGGGTTTTACCTGCTCAGCTTCTTCTACTATCTGTACCGGTACGCTTGACAGTTCCAAATGCGTATGCACGATATGGCTGACAGTTGGCTGACACAGAATGATTCTGGCCCTTATCCAAGGTGCGTGGCTCCTATCTGATGATGCGACATGTCCTGATCAATTTTCAGAGAGCGAACGATGAACGCGTCCCACATACACGGACAGCGGGTGCAAGAAAGGCCGAGATGCACTTACAGCGAAGGTAGGAAGGGATGTTGGCAGCCCAGTCGATGTGGTAGACCATACGTGCGAGATGTTGCAGGTCCGAAAGCGGACAGCAGCGGCGCGGTGATGGCGAGCACGTTAAACCCACTTTTATTCCATAAAACGGGATCGCAATTCCCTCTCTCCTGTTCTCATGACCCTTTCTTCCAAGCACTCCCAACGACCCTCCTGTTCATCTTTGTGATCCCCTTTGGTGTGCAATTGATTACGTTTCCTGCAGGCCCGGCACACGCAGGTGCTTGCTTTCCTCGCTGAAATCCTGCTGAGGGGTTCCTGACGGAGAAGATTAATATCATCTCTTATTCCTTGGGTCTTGACCGTTTCTTATTTTTACTCCTGTACATACCTCTTCTCTATTCTTTTTCAGACTACTTCGTCGCGTGATCAGTCCGGTGCAACATCATGGCGCCATTCAAAGATTCAGCTGCCCGGTCCGCCTTAAACGGATCATTCATCAAGACGAGGGATCCACGATTCACAAAATGGAATAATGTACGTTATGTCACCTAACACCTCGATCGACTTGCAAACCTAAAACGCCCATCGTCGTGGTTTTCCTACTCCTGGACTCCCTCGGAGTAAGACGGAGTAACTACCATCAACGGACGAGCGCGTGTGCCTTTCCGGCGGGAGATCCTCGTGAGAAAATCCGAAGCGCGTCATGACCGGACCCCAGCAACCCCACCGCCGACTCCGGACGTCATCGGAACACGACGTGTTGAGCTCTCAGATTTGCTTTCTCTTGTTGCTTGTGCCTCTGCTTTTAGATGTTTTGCCGGTGACACCACCTCCTTATCAGCATGACTGAAGCAGTTGACTAAAGAGTCAAGATTTGCTCTGAGACGTTCTGATAGCCCGACGAGTGCTGGCGATCATGACACATCGCTCTGTCCAGGAACAACTTGCATTCGACAAGTCGCTCTAACCAAGGCCACGCAAATTGCCTCACACCAAGCCGACATTCCGTGGACCTTGCTCCACATCGAAATAGTGTGGGGCCCAGTTTCCCCAGTCAGAACCCAAATTTAACTGCCTCCCCGCCCGGGGTCCCCTCTCTTCTTTTGCAACAAGCATGATGCAACCGCTTCGCGAAGCTTTGGACACACTGCTCTCCTGACCGACGGCAAGCACTCCGATGATCTCACATCTTCTCTCCTCCGCCTGGATGCTCCGATGGTCCCCGGGCCAGCTCATTCATCTCCACTTGCTCACTCGGCTGATGCTCCCTCACTACCGGCAAGTCCTCTCATCCAGGGTCACCCAGAGCTTCGGGCATTCTATGTGATGTATTGCCAACCAAACGGGGTTATATCTCTCCCCCAACCCCTTCTGGCGAACTTGCCTGTTCGGTGCCTCTTTCCGGGAAGCATACGAATCTAAGGCACGATGGGGACGGAGATTTCGGACAGAAATGCATGGCAGGAAAACGCTCGCCCACCGGCCGCGTATATAACGTGCGCTGCCTAGGCGAAGATCGATGGTGTCTTTCTCTTCTTCACTGCTCTCACCTGCTCGCTGTTCGAGTAGAATCAGACATCGACCTAGATAAGACCGATCGCCACAACACATCATGGCAGGAGGAGCAACAGGAGGCGGTCATTCTCAGGCCGCAGAGCGCCGTCTCGCCCTCGCAGGGAAGGGTGGATGGGGAGGCCTGGTGCACAACCGTCGAGTTTTTGCCATTGCCATCTATGCGTCTCTGGGTGGTCTTCTATACGGTATGTGTGTATTGGTCTGCTTTAACGTTTCAGGCATGCCAACACACGCTTTTAGGCTACAACCAAGGTGTCTTCTCCAGCGTCCTAACGTATGTCACCATCTTCAACCCTTGGGCCCCACGCGTCCGAACGGGAGATGCCTATATTGGGCGGCGGAGGTGCTGATTGTTAAGCCAGAATGTTCTCCTTCGACCAGCGCATGGCCTCTGCTGTCAACGACCCCACCACCAAGGGTTGGCTCGTCTCTATCCTTGAGCTTGGTGCCTGGTTCGGAGTGCTCAACACTGGTTACAGTATGTCATTACAATGTTCTGAGAGCGACGTCCCTAACGTAACTCGACGCAGTTGCTGACTATCTCTCCCGCAAATGGACCATCTTCTGTGCCGTCTTCGTCTTTTGCATCGGAGTCATCGTACAGATCACCGCCCAGCAACCGTCGTCTATCTACGGCGGTCGATTCATCACTGGTATGGGCGTGGGTTCCCTTTCCATGGCAGTCCCGCTGTACAACGCCGAGCTCGCCCCTCCTGAAGTGCGTGGGTCACTCGTTGCACTCCAGCAGCTAGCCATCACATTTGGCATCATGATTTCCTTCTGGATCGACTATGGTACTAACTATATCGGCGGCACCGGCTCGACACAGTCCGAGGCAGCCTGGCGCCTTCCGCTTGCTCTCCAGCTTGTCCCCGCTCTTATCCTCGGAGCCGGCATTTTGTTCATGCCCTATTCTCCGCGTTGGCTCATCAGCAAGGGTAGGGATGAGCAAGCCCTTAAGGTGCTCTCACACATGCGCCGTCTTCCGGAGGATCACGAGCTGGTCCAGATCGAATATTTGGAAATTAGGACGCAAGTCATATTCGAGCAGGAAGTTAGCCAAGAGATGTTCCCTCAGTACCAAGGCGGCACCCTGTACGATGGCTTCATGCTCGGTGTTCGAGGCTATCTGAGTCTGCTTACCAACAGAGGTATGCCACTACGTAGTTGTCGGCGCGATGGCGTGATCATGCTCATATCTCTGTCAGTCTACCTCCGCCGTACCGCTGTTGGCACGATTACCATGTTCTTCCAGCAATGGACTGGTGTCAACGCCATTTTGTACTACGCCCCATCTATCTTCGGCGCCCTCGGCTTGACGGGCAACACAGTGCAGCTGCTCGCTACAGGCGTGGTCGGCATCGTCATGTGGATTGCCACTATTCCCGCCGTGATCTGGGTCGACGACCTTGGCCGCAAGCCCGTCCTAATCTCCGGCGCTTTCCTCATGGGTGCATGCCATATCATCATCGCTATCCTGACGGCGCTGTTCCAGAGCGACTGGGGTGCACACGGAGCGGCCGGTTGGGCGGCTTGCGCGCTCGTCTGGGTCTTCGCTATTGGCTTCGGTTACTCTTGGGGCCCATGCGCCTGGATCATCGTTGCCGAGGTGTACCCACTTTCCATCCGTGGCAAGGGCATGTCCATCGCTGCTTCGTCCAACTGGATGAACAACTTCATCGTCGGCCAAGTCACGCCCACCATGATGAGCAACATCACATACGGCACTTTCCTCTTCTTTGGCATCTTCTCCCTCATGGGTGGCTTCTACATTTGGTTCTTCGTCCCTGAGACGAAGGGCCTAACCCTCGAAGAAATCGACGAAGCGTTCGGCGATACCACCGGCACGGCCGTGAAGGATGAGGAGCACCAGGCCGCTATCGCGAAGCGTATTGGACTCATTGCGTTGCTCGAGGGTCGTGACGGCTCCTCCTCGCCGCAGATTCTCGATGACTCGGAGAAGAAAATCCACGAAGAGAATGTGTAGGCAGAAGGTTAAGATTCAGTATAGTCGGAACTTTGTTCGATCATCTTCTTGTCTATGGTTGGAATGTATTGCTACATGATTCATGACATGACACACGTTTTCAGCGAATGACGGCGCTCGTACAAAGTATTGAGCCCAGACTAGCGTGAAAGGGATGAATGGATGATAAGGTGCCCCCTTATATATAGCGGCCCGTCTTCCTCCGGGCCAATGGTGTGGGGACGAAGCGAACGGAAAATTACCCGAAACGGAAGGCCTCATCAGCCTTATCAAATCAGGAATCACGACGTCGATATGCATATAATAACAGAACATGGCGGTCGACGAACACAGCGCAGACGCCTCTTTCGTCAATTGTTGCGTAGTGTTGACATTTGGACATGGGAAGCGCCGCAACAGCTGTCATTGCTGGTGAAGTCTCTTTCGGCATTACCCATATGGTATGAGCTAACCTTCCAATCCTAACCAGCCCTCGCGACCTTCGCCGTCATCCTTGCAATTGTAGGGATGTTCCTCAACAAACTAACACGCAAGTCGTCCTCTCGGCTCCGACTCGAAGCAGCAATCGCTCGTCGCGCTGTGAACCGATTGCCCATCTCGCGACAACCAACAGCCGCATCTGAGCTTCCTTCGTACATCGTGGCATTGTCCAGTCCGCCAGCTCATGGTGTGCCAATACACGCCCCAACAGCCCACATCGACCTCAGCTCACTCCCAGCCGTACCGCCACCTGTAGTGCTGCCGCCGCCATACGAGCCTGGACCGCGAGAGTTGGCCCAAATGGTGAGTCAACCAGAAGCACAGGCAACCCCGCCGAGGCATGTGGCGCCGTGACTGCCCGAACAGGATACCCGGGGACGTGGCTTGCCGGCCGTTGAGGATGGCCTGTGGCAGAATTGAGAGCGTGACCGGCCCTTGATTGTTGTCTATTGTCAGCGGACTGGTCGGGGATGCCAAGTACAAGATCACGGGACCTGCTTAATGTACGGTGCGATTCTCTTTGTAGACTGCCATGTTACGCTCATCCAGCTTCGTTTGGGCTCATGATGTACGATATACTCTGAAGCATCAAAATTGGACAGTATCACAATCTCAATTCAAACTTCACAAGCTGAAGACGCCTGAAGAGCAAGTGTGCGAGGTACCAGCAACTTTCCCGCAAATCACGGGAACACGGAGGGTCCTCTCCCCTTCCCGTTGTTGCCCGATTTACCCTAGAACCGTGAATATCGAGTTGTCCGGCGGCCGTTTGTTGAAGAATAAAGCCGGAGCCGACCAAATGTGGGGGAGGGCGTGGCTGCAAGCCTCCGGCCGGTTCGGGGATCGTAAACCCATTTAGCGCCCACACTTTCATGATGTGGTGAACAATAACTTCACCATTCATTACCTGTCGTCATGAGCACAGTCAAGCCAACTTCAAATGTGATGGGTGAAAGCGCCATCGCTGGCATCTTCGCAGGCACGCATTCTCTACCCCTGCCCCGCTTAACTCGTGAACTCACGTCCTCATCCCTCCAGGTGCCGCCGGACTCATTGTTCTTGTCATACTTGCTGCGATCGCAGTCACGTATTTCTTCGCACAGCGCTACCGCCCTGCCCAACCGCCGACGTACACGAGCCGCCTAGCAGGAGACATAACACTACGCTTACGAGCGCCCGTGAACCGCCTACCAGACACGTCGATGAGCGCAGAGGACGCGGCCGAGTTGCCCTCGTACGACGAGGCACCACGTACTGTCAGCCCCGTGCAGACTATTATCGATATGGAAATTCCAGTCCCCCCTCCTCCACCTCCCTCACTCCAGTCTCGGGCTAGCTCGAGCATCCCACCGCCGTACGAGCCCTCCCTGCATCCTTCTGCCCCAGGAGTAGAGGGGCTTGAACCTCCTCCTGCCGCCCGGCCGGGTCTAAGTAGCCGTAGGACGAGCGGAAATGTACCCTCCATCGGGGAGGGCCCCTCCTCTCCGAATCCTCAACCTGTGGTCCCACATCCTCGTTGGCCAAAAAGTCACCTGCTCGAGAGTCTGAAATTCATGATACGCGCCGATAGCACGACTGCCTCTGCATCTTCCTCTTTCGCTCATCGTCGGCCGGCGCATGAGGGGTTGAGGAGCCGACTGGCAGCTTTGAGTGAGAGACAGACGCCAACGCCGACTGAGATGCAGGTTCACGCAGAGGTCGCTACGGAGGTCGCACCGGCGGTACCGCCTACCCCAGCGGCTCCGGCATCTCAGGCCATGCCAGCGACCACGTGAAACAAACTCATATTTGCACGATATGAAGTAGTTTGGTCGTATATTCGCTGGCCAGACTGTAGGATACCAAGATAGTTATACCACACGCGATGATATTCCAATGTATTCATACCTATTTACATCCTGGATGAGCAGGCACGTCGACCTGTTTCAGGCACAGGGGAGGTCGCGTTAAAGTTACGGATGTCTCGCTTGCTACACGATCGGCCGTGCAAAACATATCCTCGTCAGCGGATATCCGATATCGGTTCTGGATGTATCTTGAGAATGACCGTGCGAGATGTCTATGAAATAAGAGCGAGCAAGCTGCAGGCACACCTGATCTGTACGGCGTCCTCCTTACACCTCATCAAACCACTGATGGTCCACGGACTTCTAAGAACAACACAGCCTGCAATGCGCTTCAGCAGTAGGGACGGTACCACCCCAGCTCTAAGTCCTCCACCGGTAAACCCGACTGTGCTTGTCGGTACGTTCTCATGCTGTATCACTGCTCTCCAGATAGCTGAAGGGCAGGACAGTGGGGACAGTCGTCATCCTCGTGCTCGGTGTAGTGGTCTTTATCCTCCTCTGGGCATGGTCTCGCTGTTATCGTGTAAAACGGAGAGAGCAAGCGGGAGATGAGAGCCAAACAGCTGTGTCACAAGCACTCTCCGCGTTGGAGAGGATGCCTTCAGCTGCTTGTTCGACTTCCCAGCTCCCGACGTACGACGGGAATAGGCCACCAGCATATTCGAGTGGGTCTTCGACGACGCGGGTGACGCGCGAGGGAGAGGTTGGGCATAGCGCGGTGTGTTTGACCGAGCTGGAGAGAGTGTATGTGACAGGGTTGAGGGCACCGAGTCTGATCAGACAGAGATCCCAGCCACCAGCTTATGACGTTAGCCAGTCGAATAGTTCCCCATAGAGAGATAAGAGAAGCAGGCAGAATACTAGGGCAATCCTAGGTTGTGACGCAACAATGTGTCATTGAGCAAGGCGCAGTGTACAAAAAACAGACATAGCTGGCACTCAAGAGACTCCGACAAGTGCGGGGTCGGATCACGAACCTACGGGCCGATGCAAGATAGACTTTGATCTGTGCTGGCAGTCGGACCTCCGTGCCTGGTTGTCGCGCTTCCCGCTCGGACCGCCTCTACGGCGTCCTTCGCTGTCCAGCGATATGCGATTGGCCAGCGGCGTCCTGCGGTGAACATCAATTGATGGATGTGCTGGACATGGTCTATGATGAAGACGTGGACAGGTACAGAAGCCAGCACAGCGGACTGCCACACTGTTGAGGCTTGCGTGTTGCACAAAAGGAGGAGACGTGGCGACTGAGAAACGAGGTGCCAGCGAGGGTGACGTAAGCGACAGAGAACTGAGACATGACGCAGTGCAGCTACAAGGTCAAGAGCGGAATGGCCAGCGAGGCAGACCGCCCCCCTCTCCTTGTCCTCCTACAGCCATGTCAACGTAGGCAAGCTCAATCTGCTACGCATCATCATCTGAACTTCACTGCTGGTCTTCTTGTATCACCAAGGCGGACAACGCCCCTGACCGTGGTCACCGAGTCTAACGCGCACAGCAACTTGGACACAATATTGGGCATCGTATTCGCCATACCAAGCAGATATAAAGCAACTATATGCACCTTTTCCTTGCGATCCAGGCATTTAGATACTGGTCGCCTCGGCATCCGCTTCGCACGGGTCTCAATACACGAATGGTTAGTATTGAACAACTGGCCGCATATATGTGCATACATTTGTGCAACACCGTCTCCGGCGGCGACATTTAGCACCTCGCATGCTATCCTCTCCTCCACATGCTGCCTTTCTTATTGTCGCAACTGCGGGGATATCCTCATGCCTACCCACGTTCTCCCGGAGCCGGCCACGGTTGGCTAAACCACTCCGCAGTATCTGTCTGTCTCTGTGAACTGTGGAGGAAATCTACCGAGGAATCGACTCGCTTCGGACGGATGCCATACTTAGCCCGGATACCCGGTGCTCGCCGTTGGATGCTTCCTTGTCGTCTGTTCCTCGGATGTCTCAGGCGGCAGAGGAACCTCAGGCTCATCAGAAATTTGATGCTCCGCGTTACTCCAAGTCAACGGCCCTGATCTCTTAACGCCGGTGCTCCGACCGTGCGGATCCGCAATATTCTTGTCTCGCGTTGTTATTCGGGCGGTTCTGCCTGTTCGGAACACATCAAGTGGAGTGCGGAATGAGCTAAACTGTTGATCCATCTTCCACTGGTGCGTCTCCTGGCAACCCTGCTCATGACAACTATTGAGTCAATCGCGCCGACGCAGATTGTGCAACATAATACCACTCTCGTAGGTCTCCATTATTATCATATTCTTACAATGCATCCTGATTACTCGATCAGGTCCGGCCCTTTACGTGCTCAGGGTCTTTCCGGCTTTGTCGCATTTGTACGGGCAAGGAAGGCGCACCACATCACGGCATGGGTGCGATAGGCTATCCAAAGCATTTGCCCATAATTGTGTTGAAGAGTTACTTCCGATCATGGTGCGACACATGGAGGGGTCGATCGGGAACGAGTCGAATGTCGTGGAATGGAATGGCGCCTTATCTGCCCTTGCGCGAACGCTCCCGCGGCATGTGTTCCTCCTCTGCTTCAATTCGCTTCTCAACTGTGGCATCACCTGCTCAGATTTAAGCAGATATCTTCTTTCGGCCCGCGGCAGATCGGGGGGGCCATCGGTCGCCTGATATTGTCATTGCCGCACATTCATCAATACCCGTACGACCAAGACGGTCACAGGCCCTCTCGTCTGTTCAGGAAGTGTCCGGGCAAAGGTCGAAACAATGGATATTGCCTCGCTCGCTGCGCACCGCAAGAAATGATATAAGTCTTTCCGGGAGATCCGGGCGAACCTCGGGTGGACCCGCATATGGCAACTGTCAGGTAAATTCGTTCACTCGGACCGCGGCCATCCCTGCCGGGTTCCGTATCGAGAGTAATTCCTGTTCACTGCAATTCGATTGCATTCCTCGTCTATGCCAATTCCTAAAGGAGGAAACACGATGAAGGGAGCGTTGTGGTGCACATGAAGATCATGCATATTCATGTCGAGTCCGTGTCTCCATCCCGAGAACCAAGAAAAAACAAAAGACTAAACTATTGTTACACACGCGCGGCGCCTTCCGTATACAGTCAATCGGTTGGTCAGCGAGACTTGTCTTCGCCTACATTTTTGGTTGTGCTATTGGTCCGCCGAGCCAGTTGGTACAACGATAGAAGAGATCGCAAAAGAGTCGAAAGGAGTTTAGGCCTCTTGGCCAAAGGAGAGCTTGAATCCCCATCGTTGAGCACCATCGGCGGGGGAGGCAGTGAGCTCGAGTTGGCCGCTGAAGCGAGCCTCCTTGGTTGAGGCAGCCAAGGCAGCGCGTGAACGACGAGTTGCGATCATCTGAGTCGGTCGTTGCAGGGTGAGACGCATGTTGGCCGAAGGAGTCCCAGCTTCTGGTTCGCCCTCGGCGTCCATGTCCTCGTCAGCCTGGAGATCGACGTTGATCGGCCTGTTCTCGCCGAGGCTCAGGTCAACTTCTCCTACGACAGAGGCAGGCAAGTTCGCCGAGACCGCTATCTGAGAACTGCTCGACCCATTCGAAAGCGCCGATAGGGAGAAGAGGACTGCGAGCCGTGCAAGATCTGCTTGTTGGATGTTGACAGGTGCTACACCCATTTCACCCCGAAGGCGAGCGATCTCGGCCAGATATACCTTCTCCTTGCTGGCGAGCTCGTTTTCAGCGACCAGAACACGAGCTTCCGCCTTGGATAAGCGGTCCTTCATGTCCTGGATGCTTGCGAGCTCAGCCTCGCGCTGAGATACGCTCGCCTCGATCTCCTTGCGTTCATTTTCCATCTTAACGACACGCCTGTTTGTATCGTTAGGCAACATCCGCATTGTAATGCACACGAGCACTTACTTTTCCATCGCCTCAAATTCTTCCCGTTTCCTTTGCCTTGACAAGAATGCCGCCGCACGGTTCTTGACTAGCCTGGCGTCCTTCTTCGACAAACCGGACACGTCCGGCCAGACAAAAGTGGCACAAGTGATCCGAGCCCCACTAGGATCAGCGGGCTTCGTAATCACTGGTGGAAGGTGTGAGTTGGAGGATTTACCCCGTTGGTGAGAATTCATCGACGACTTGCGCTTCTTGCTCGGCGAATTTTGCTGCGACAGATGCAGGCTGACCATCGTCGCCTCACGCTTGAGATGTGCGCGGCTGGGGATCCGAGGCGACGGGGAAGGTGAGCGGGACATGCCATCGTCAAACGAGGGGGTGGGAGACATGGGAGTGATAGAAGAATCAGACCCGCTGGTCAAGGGAGGAGGCATGATGTCCGACATGGAGACGGTTGTCTGGAGAGAGTCGGAGCTGGAGGAGGAGGTGGCCGACAAGGGAGGAGGGGTGTGGTCACCGAACAGCTGTTGTTGGAAGCCGCCGCCCACCCCACTCGACTGCATGTTGATTGCCTGGAGGGAATAAGCGCCGGCAGAAGGCATGTTGAGAGGAGCCATGCTGCCGCTCATAGCGGGCATGGGGCTATGGCCCATCGGCATATGTTGGAGGTGGTGGTGGGTCGTGGGGCCTGTGGCATAGTGCCCCTGGGTAGAGAAGTGTTGGTTGATGCCGTAAGAGGAGGGGAACTGCAGGCTGTCTTCACCAGGCATGGGATCGTATTGTGTGAAGGAGGTGTCGATGGGCGGGTAGCTGTTGGTGTCGAAGAGGAAGGGAGATGGGGAAGCCATTGAGTGCAGAGCGAGCAGGCGTCAAACGTTGTTACTGGGAATGAGCAACGAGATCGGGGGGAGAGCCTGAACGAGGGGAAGAGAGGGGGTGTACGGAGATACGAAGGGGAGGAGGGGAGGGGCATAAATAGGCGACGAGTTGACGGGGTGGCATTCCGAAATCCGTTGGATGTGTGTTCTCGCTAGGGGGGGGGGGCAATCACATGGAGGAGGGGAACGAAGAAGGCAAGGGCGATGATGGATGATGCTCGGTGTCATGGATGAGAAGATGAGAAGGCAGGGTCGGGGAGGGACAGGGAGAGAGGGGAGACAGGGAGAGCACAGACCCATCGGTATGGGGAGACGGGTTGGATTTTTGCACACGCACGCAACAGAAGCGAACGAACGAGAATCTGTATCCTCAACCGGTCTCCATTCTCTCCATCCCTCTCCTCCCATCGCACAATACACCGAGCTCAGCCACTTCTCACTTCACAGTCCTTCCCCCGCGGCGGAGCATCGGCAACCCACACCCAGACTCGTCAGTGCGGTGCATCTTCTCTTGCCCGTGCCCACAGGGGAGGTTCCCTTCGCCGTCTTCCTCTCCTTTTGCGGCCCAATAATTCGGTTCGGTCCCCGCGGTATAATATCCCATCCTCATCTGCCGTCCGGCCGTTCACAGTGTACAGACTGGGTCAGGCTCAGGCAACCCTGACCTCCCCCGCCAGAGTACATGCCGAGCGAATGACCTTGAGGCTCGAGTCGTTCGATGGCTTCCATTCCAACGAGTCTGAATATAAGTTATCGGCGTTACATTTCGGAATAGCAAACGTGTCGGGATCGCAAGCGCAGCGGCTGCAAGGGATCCCCATCTCCGGTCTTGCGTCGCATTACACGGCATCGCCCTCATCTGGCAGGTGCTGATCGGGCTGATCAGTCCCTCCGCCTTTCTTCTCTGCCTCGTGGCTCACTCCGGAAGGAATCGGCGATGAGCGGCGCGTTGCGCTCACCTAAGCAGCTACGGAATACCTTCGGCCTATAGTACATCGCCGCCCTTTTGTTCACAAAGAAGCACACACTGAGACAAGTTGTCCTCACCCTGTTTCCGCGCTTCTAGGAACAAGAAAGTGAAGAAAGCGGCGACAAAGCTCATATTTCGATCTGCGTCTGCACCGCAATACTTCGTCTGACGCCTCCAAAGATTCTCCGTCAGATAGAATCATTTATTTCCAATGTCCATCTTCTCTCGCGATTCCTCATTTCGCATTCCTTGTTCATCAACATGGCGAGCGAATTCTATCGGCTCCCAGCTCCATATTCCAGTACTTCCCGCTCGTCAGACCACCTCGCCACAAGTTGAGGCACGTGAGTGTCAAACTGTTCCTCGCCTATCCTCGCCACTACTAGTCCGAGCACCGTGGCCTTCGCATAACCCTTCATCCACTTCTCAATCTGTCAATATAACTCGCCCGAGAGCTCTAACACACTCTGACCGCGGGGGTTGTCATGAGCTAAAGGGTCGAACCACCTCTCAAGAGCATGTGCAGTGCCCCTTCACTACTATAGTATGCATGTCCACCGGGACCGCGCGATTCCTATCACCGTATGTTCCAGTGTCTCCCACACACCAAGTACTCACGTCAATATCCGTATAGTGCTACGCCGGGCTTGTATGAAAATCAGAGGAAAGAAGATTTACCTAGGTCTCCTCGGCCCTATCGCTCCCGACACCTTCCGGCTTCCTCTAACAACACCGCTTCTCCCCTCTCCAGCCAGCTGCTGGCTCAACAACCCCATGCCGTAGCACATGACCTACCGCACTCACCGGGCGGTCGAATGCCGCCGACGGTTGCTCGCGCAGTCTCAGGCTTCAGCGGGCAGGGTTATAGGGTACAATGGGTACACTAGGCGTTTCCCGTTCCCAGGCTAGTCCGCCAGGAACCAGAGAGTTCTACCAGCCGACGGTGATACTCCCGATGGATGCTGCGTCCTACCGAGTTCTGCAGCGCGTTTCTGCCCATGGGGAGATTGTAGCCTCCTGCCTGTTTCTCTCAACCAAAAAACAGATTGCGTCGGGTTCGTCCCTTTCTGGAATGGTCCTCGATAGACTCGACCAGGGACTCAGGTTTAATCTGATTCATGGTGCAGGGCCATCTGCTCATTCCTTTTCACTAGCTATCACTAACAGACAATCTCTGCCGCAGTTCTCCCGTATCCCGCTCTCCGAACAGAGGAACAGCTCTCCGAGAAGCGAGATCTTCTAACGCCCCACCACCACAGTCATACAAAGGCACTGCGCTCCATATCCCTTTTCGATGCAGTGGCCGGCCGTAGATATTTGAAAACCAGGCTCAGCAACTACACCTTCAATAGCTTTTGTAGCGGCCGACAGACGCGGAACTGCGGAGGGTATGCATGGTTGTATCCTAGGGGGTTGACAAAGCAGGTGACTGTTATAGTGTATCACAGGAGAAGTGTTCCCCTCACCAAGACCTACGATCAGGATATTACGCAGCATTGGAACTTGCATTTCAACCAATAGCCGATAATCTATCTCACTCATCGCCCTACAATCTCGTCTCTCCCCTCCGCTTCGGGAGGGTTCGATGCTTCTATGCTTCTGTATCAAATACCGCACACGGCGCACGCCGTCCTTTCCTCCACTCACATGGCGTTGCCCGAGCTTCCACTTTCTGCGCCCTTCACAGTTCGAGCTCCTTGTTCCCGCGAGCCTTCTCTAGGCCTCGGCAAAAGTACGCATTAGGCAGCTTCGGCCCGAAATAACGGCGATGGCCTATCCGTACGCATTGCATACAGTATATGCACCCGACAGCACGCGGTCTTTTGCAGCAAGAGCAGATTCTTTCGGCGCATAGCGAGTAACCTCACATAGACATGCTTCTCATCGTCCCTACCCCAAGGTCCCACCAATCCGAAGAAGCGGTCCGCTTCCCATCAACCCAAGTGGTACACGTAATCCTCACGCCCCTTTGGGTTCCTTCAACCTTGTTACGGCTTTACTCCTCACCCGCTCAATCCGCTCCCGTCCCGTTCATACCCCTTATGATGATTCAACGCTTGATGGGAGAGGCGAGGATCTTCACATGCTTATCGCGCGCTGCTGCGATCGCGTCAAAGCCCTGACTGACGATGTCGTCGAGGCTGATCTTGCCGGTAATGAGCCCGTCCGTGTTCAGACGTCCGTCGCTCACGGCCTGGATCACTGCGGGGAACGCCTCCACCATGCAGGCCGTCCCGATTAACACCTTCTCTCCCGTTGTGATGTCGCTAAGCGAGACTGGAACGTCACGATCCCACAGAGCGACGTTGAGAATTGTGCCGCGCGGTTTCACAGCTTTAATTGCAGTCTTGATGGACGCCTAGACGAAAACATGGTGTCAGTTCAAACATCGCACACACGCCGGAACCAAGTGTGAAATACCGGAACACCCGCGCAGTCGAAAGTGACGTCTACTCCTAGTCCGTGTGGACCCCTGTCCTTACAAGCCTGCACGACATCAACCTCGCGCGGATCCCACACCTCCGTTGCCCCCGACTTCTTCGCATACTCCTTTCTTGCGTCGGCTACTTCGGAGACGTAGACGGAACGTGCCCCAACGGTTTGGAGAACTTTCAGCACAGCGAGCCCTACAGGGCCACCTCCGAGGACAAGCGCCGTCTGTCCCATTGTGAAGTGGGCCTGTCGCACCGCATGCCATGCGACCTGCAGAATGGTGAATATTGAAACAATGACAGGGTTCTCGAATGGACACACGCAGAGGGGCTCGATAAGCGCTCCAACTTCAACTGATTGGCCATAAGCAGAACATCCCTGATCCAATCATCATACTCACAGGAGACATTGTCAGGCAGAAAGTGAACGCGATGCTGCCGAGCAAGTGCGTATTCGGCGAAGCCACCGTCATCGGCAACACCGATGATACCCATTTTGGGACAGCAGTTTTCTGGATCCTCCCAATTAGCTTATGCATCCCGACAGGGGACAATGGCGCCTGCGTACCGAAGCCCCCGTGACACAGCTTGCATTGACCACAAGTGATGATGGGCTCCCTATGACATCAGATCAGCATTGCCCTCCATTCGCTGCAACTCTCGCACATACACGCAAACGCGCTCCCCCACTTTGTACTTCTCAGTATCCACCTCGGGTCCAAGCTTGTCGATAGTGCCGCTAAATCTGTGTCGAAGTTAGCACAGCTTGAACAAAAATGGGAGGCAGCAGAAAATACCCACTCATGTCCCAGAACCAATGGCAGACCCGACTTGCCCGTGAGCGGATGCTCTCCGGAATGTCCCATGGTGGGCACACCGTGGGGGCCACCCTCATACTCGTGCATGTCGCTGCATTATCGCGAGCACGTCAGTTCTTCCTCTCGGGGCGCGATAGTTGAAGGACACCGGCACATACCTCCCGCATATGCCGCACCATTCCACCTTCACCCGAATCTCATCGGCCTTGGGTTCCGGAACCGGTTTGTCGACGATCCGGATATCACGCTTATCGTAAAAGGCAGCTGCTTTCATCGTTCGACTTGATGCGCAGGGACGATGGATAAGAAACTCTTGTCGATATGGTCGTTCTCAACAACCGTAAAGCTGCCTGGAAAGTTCATCCTGGAGTAGAATGCCCATCCATATGGGTCAGGTGTGGAGAGGGTCTCGTAAGGGTAAACGTTCTCGAGAGTACGTCAGGATGTTTAGTTCTTCAGCACCACAGACTTCACCTGCACCCGAAGAGCGAAAAGCTTGGCTGCTTTCGTCGATATTCGACCGAGGCTACCGCGCTTGCGACGAGCTCGGGCTACGGTGATGGTTACTGCTCATAAGGGGAAAGTGCTCTGGAGCTTTTAGCAAGACGCGGAGCATCTTCCCTAGTTCTCTCAGTCCACCACCTCTCCGAGTCTCACCCGCACCCTTCTATGCACTGATTAAATCGCACCACTCTATGTCTGCCGAGCTCTATGAACGATGCTAGAAGCTAAATGGCTGTTCGATGCCTCCTCAAATGGACTACGATCTGGATTCCCGAATGGCCATCTATTGCCGAGACGCTCAGAGTCCGACCCCGAGGATCGCAGTCAATTCTGACCGCAAGTCAGCAAGATGAATTGCCCGACAATCTTCCTGGCTGTGTCTCCACCTTAACTTGCTCCGATATTAGAACATCCCATGCAGAGATAGAGGAAAATGCACCGTCCAGGAAATGCATCTCTATTCATGATTTCCCGGACTGTCAGTGCCCTTGTAATTTTCAGTACCATCGGATTTTCTACCTTCGATCCCGGACTCGGTGACTGGGTTCGGCCACCCATAGTGAGCTGATACTCAGCCGCAGTGCCAGTTTAGGAATCCCTTCGGTTCGTATTGTACCTGCGCAGCACCCGGGCACTTCCCTCGGTCACCCATAATCAGATATACGTTTATCACATCGTCCAAGGTCAGAGTTAGGAACTGCTCCTGGAGCACCGGTCAATATCTGTTCACTAAACCAGTGTCCCATATGTGCGGCGCATCGCAGAAGGTAGACGAAGGCTGTGAGTGGACTAAACGTTCGCCCAAGCGTGATACGCGTCCTGATATCAGAAACGATCGAGGAACGACGTCTTGAACCATATTCCGTACCTCTGCACACGTAAAATTTGTAAGCCGCGGCTTGATGGGTATATTGTAAGTCTTCTTGCGAGGGACCGACGTAAGGAACGACCCAGTTCATTTCTCGAAATATCCACAGAACAAAATTGAACAATCCTCAAACTTATCCATCAGTAATTGTATACATGAGATGTCCCATTAGCCCGAGAATAGTAATCGTTCAGTCCGTTCTACGTCACTTCCGATTGGAAATTTCTACAGCCATGTACTCGGAATTCTATGCCCCATAGACATCATCGTAAACGTCGTCAGATACGTCCTTCTCATCCACGAGGATCCTCATGCCGTCAAAGCACGGTCTAACCCACGGCGAGCTCGGGGAACCAATCGCTGCCTGAGCATCATGCAACGCCGCTTCGCACCTCCTGCGCTCCCCCTCAGAGCCCTGCCATCGGTCTTCGTCCAGGCCTGGTCGGCCCTCGCTCAGCCGGCCGCAGAGTTGTGCCCACCCGCGGTGCGTGACAAACTCGCTCGCTGTGCCGCAGGTCATTCCGATGATGTAGCTCCGCGTGAGCGAGAACTGTTTCACCGCCTGGATGGACTGGGCGAAGCCAAAATGCGACATATGCGGTTTGGGCCGGAGGCAGTCGATTATCAGCACCTGGGGTTTGTCCTCTTCTGCTAGGGAGGAGAGGTACTGTGTCGTCTCGGTTGGTATCTCGCTCACGTCGGAGAAGTAGAGGAACTTGGGGAAGAGGAAGCCGAGACTCGGGTATGGGATGGGCGTCGGGATGGGTTTGGCGTACAGTGTACTTGGTAAGAGGTTTCCTATAGAGGTGTTTGGTGGAGCGAGGCCGTTGGTCTTGAGCAAGGGGGTGGATGCGCCTGACTTGGGCGTGAAGCCGGGATTGGGCGTTTCCGGCCGTGTAGGTAGGGGAGAGGCGAGGGAGAGCGTAGCTTGAGGCTCGAAATATCGCCCGTGGTGCACTATTCTCCATCAGCTGAAATTTCACGTCGCAGTATTGTACGCACATAATAAGGGCACGACCTTGACGCCCTTGATCTCCACCTCGTCAAACTCGCTAATGATATGCCACACGAAATCCGGCACATCTCCCCCGCCGGTCGCCATGCCCTTATCGACGAGGTAGGGGAAGGTACGCTTGACTTCGTCGAACGTACGCTGCGTGAGGTAGATGTCGATGTGTTTTTGGATTCGGCCGTGGAGTGTCCAGCCGCGCAGGTCGTCCAGCCCGTTCATGGCTGTACTTTGTAAGCTAACAACACATGCGAATGAAGGGAGACGTACCGTCTGCATGAGCGTGGGTGAGCAGCAGTCCGTCTATTTCTCGCAGGTTGTGCACCGGGAACCTGCTGCAGCGTTAGCTATCACCATTCCATCGAAGCAGGTATATGCATACGTACCACTCGATCGCCGCCTGTACAAAGCTCTTCCCAGCATCAACAACGATCACTGTCTCCTCTCCTTTAGCAGGATCGGAGTACCTCAAGATAGCGCCCGTATTCCTTCGTCTATTCCGGATAGCCTCTTCCGCCTGTAGGTCAACTGCAGCACCCCGCGATGCGTCCGCCGCTAGCCAGCAGGTCTCGCACCGCGGGTCGGTGGGAGAAGCGGTGATGCAGGCGATGTTGGGAAGGCAGGAGGAAGTGCCGGTGCCGTGGAATATGAGTTCGGCTCTGGGCGCCATGGGTAAGGCGGGTCTTGGGTATGAGGCGCCGCTCTCTTTGATACGCAAATCACTCTAGGAAATGGGTATAGTGCAAAGCAGGTACTGTTGGCACCACACCTGCCCTTCGTAGAGGTGCTACCGCCGCCTTGCGTAGAATAGTTGTCTGGTGCAGAGAGTGGTCAAGTTGTCGCTGTTCATCTGGCCAGTCTTTTCTGGTCAGGGACTCATCCGCAAAATACGGAGATTATTATTGGAATACGCATTGATATGGTTGTTAATTGTGTTGTAGATGGGTGGTGTTATTACTTGCATAGGCCCCAATACATCCCATTATAAATTGAATATGCAAGTAATTAATTGCTAGGACGAGAGCATCTCGTTGACGACGTCGTCGATGGTCGAAGATAACGGTGACGAAGCGCAACCGGACGACAACGGCAACGTCAGGGACGGCGGCGGCGCTGCAGTCTCTGTCATCGACGACCACCATCGCCGAACGTCTTCATTCATTTGCCCAGCTCCTCTCTTGTTAACATCCTGATCACCGTCTTCGAACGGCTCCAACACTCTTGTACATCAGTGCTTACCAACCCAGGCAACAGTCCCTACTCTCCCACTCCTACAACGAGCGCCCATGGATTCCTCATCTTCATCCTCATCCCCGTCGACCTCTATCCACCTCCCACCAAAAATCGACGAGCGCTGCTTCACCTACTGCACCCAGAGATCCAATTACCGCGCCTTCCAAGCCGAACCCACATGTCACCAGTTCTGCTGGCGCAAAGTCTTCAAATACGAACAACAGCTTATTGATGCTGCTTCTCGTCCTGGGCATATCAACTTGTCCGCTCGGTCGCCTTTCCAGACAGCACACGATGAGGACGCTCGGACGCTTCATGAGCGGTTTTCTTGGGAACGAGTGCGATTACAGGTACTCGCTGCGCACTACGAGCCTCGGAAGACGGCATCGGAGGGAGCTGCAACTGCAGCTGCTAACGACAGTCATGCTGAGTACATGGAAACGCTTCGCGAAGTTCTCGAAGTTATGGCCAAGATGAAGCGTAAACCTCCCATACCTGAAGCCCTACGCGAGCAACACGAAGCGGTGTCCAAGAAGGTGGAGACGCTTGTGGCGAAAGAAGCTGAGTGGGAGGCCAGGAGACGGCAACTCCCGTCCGCACTTACAGCCTCAGAGCCGCTTCAGCCGTTCCCACCTCCAGCGACAAATAATTGGTCCTTCTTTCGCGGTCATTATCTATACTATGCGCGCGGGACGGGCCATACCACTGGGCATGTGAATACGATGCGCCATCTAGGTTTTCCGGATGACTGGTTCGAGGCGGCATTCGCTAAAAGAGTGGATGGCGAGCCGGTCAGTGCGATGTTGGATTCGGAGATGGCAAAGCGGAAGAGTAAGGAGGCTCCTGAGGCTGTTGGGTTGAAGCACCTTGAGGCGCAGGAGGAGAGGGACAGTGGACGGGAAAAGGTCTGGAATCCGGAGTACGTGATTTTTTAATAAATGGGGTGATCGATATTGACCTGTTCGATAGCTATGCCATGATCGTTTCCCTCGAACACCTTCCTCCAGCAATATTCGGCGCCGTTACGGGATCTTTCATACGCACTTATACCCCTGTATTCACCATACTCCAGAAGTACAAGGAGAGCTTCACCTCTGGCCAGCAGACACGGAACGCACGCATGATATGGAGCAGAGTGTGGGACAGGGAGGAAGGGCCCCTGGGCACGCTCAAGAAGCTTGGAGAGGCTTTTGAACGGTCGTTTGAGAGATCGAGAGAGGAGGAGAAAGAGAGGGAGAAGGATAGGCAGAGAGAGCAGAAGAAGGAGGATAAGGAAGGAAAGGCTAAGCCGTGACGGTGGTTTGATTTTATTACATTTGGGCATTGGGGAGCATTGAATCTATCTATATAGACTGCGTGCCATTTGTAATGATTATTCAGGACACTCCATTTGTAGTCCTGTAACAACCCAGCTCATCAGAATACCTTTTTTTTTCCCACGAAGGTCGTCTAAACTTCATTGCGGATTGAACTGCGATAAATGGAGATTGTTAGTCTCAGAAATATTTTCGGGACATCACGGATATCAGCGCTCAGGGACTACTAGTTGCTCGTCGTCCCCAACTTTGTCCTCGTCGTCTTCCTCTCCGCTCCAAGTCTCGACGGTTGTCGGTTTCTGTGTATACCCAAGTAGAAATCATGTCCTCTTCCTCCTCTTCTACATCAGACCCGAAAGGCAAACGACAACGACCAACCTATCCTCCGGGTACTGCCATGCCCCCTCCAGAACCGGGCGGTGTGACAACCAGCTGGGCCCCGCCTCCGCATCACGTCGCCACAGGCGTCAACGTGCCCCAATGGGTGGACGAGCGATGTCTGTCCTACTGCACTCAGCGGTCCGGCAATCGCACATTCCAGGGCGAGCCGACGTGCCACGTCCTCTGCTGGCGCAAGATCTATGAGCACGAGCAGAGACTCCTCGACGCTGCCTCGCTACCTGGACAAATCGGCATCAATAGCCCCGGTACTTCCCCTCAGGTCGATAAATGGAAGGCGGAGCGAGCCCGGCTGCGATCCCTCACCCGGCGCTTCGCGCCTGAGCGGGAGAAACAATGGAAGTCTGCTGCTAGTGAGCGGAAGGCGAGTCTTGCGGAACGCCCTGCATCCCCCCCGCCCGTAGAGGGGAGGACACGAGAAGGAGGCGATGAGCTGCGAGGTCCAGAGAAAACCCTTCAACTTGAGACGGATACATCTGCTTCGACTTCCGCTAATTTCATATCTGGTTCTTTCAGTCCATTCCCGCCTCCACCGAACAACATATGGTCATTCCTCCGCGGTCACTACATCTTTTATGGTCGCGGGCCCGATCGTGTCATCGCTCGAACACGAACAATGGGGCATATCGGGCATCCGAACAATTGGTACTTGACCGCCAAAGAGCTCGAGAAGGACGGAGAGAGTGTTGGTGCAATATTGGAGTCGAGCTTGAAGGAGCAAGCGAAGCTCCAACAACTTGTGGAAGCGCCTGGGGCTGTGGGGATGAAGCACCTGCATGCAGAGGAGAACTGGAAAAAGGCGCAAAAGAAAGAGAGACGGAAACAGACAGAGTGCGTTCTCTATTTTGGCCGGCTCCCATTATAATAGACATGCTAACACCTTTCTTCAGCTATATTGTCCTAATATCACTTGAGCACCTCCCATTCGCCATGTATTCGAGCGCTGTCAGCACCCTAGAGCGTGTCACCGGTCCGTTGGGTGCTTTTTTCACCAAGTACCAGGAGAGCTTCACTTCGGGCCAACAAGTGCGAACGATGCGCCGTATCTGGTCGACGGTAAAGGATCCGGAGTATGGACCGATGGGGATGTTCAAGCGTGCCACGGAGAGTTGGGAGAGGCTTAGAAAAGAGGAGATAGACAAGTCGATGCGAGAAAAAGGGAAAGAGAGGAGTAGCAGAGAGAAGGAGTAGCCTGGTCGTGTATCTTGTTGATCTGGAGTGTCAAACGTGGAAGTCCTTCATATTCGTTATGGAGTCCTCTGATCTTACTTGCATTGTAATATCCGCACTCCACTCATCACGTCCATACTTACAGCCCACTGGCAGTCTCGTCCGCAACGTATCCTCAGCACCCTCCATGGTACTGCCACTTATACGTTTGTAACATTTTAATACATAAAAATGAGAGAATAACCTCAGGCCCGCCCGCGGTACAATTACATAAGTAAAAGGCACTCAATGCCTGTCTAAGAGTGTATAACGAAGCCTGCTTCATACGACTCCTCTCGTCTACTTGCTAGTGTTCGGCGTTCAAGGTCCAAGTCCGCCAATACAGTCTTTCAACCGACCTCCGGTCTAGTTGAAATGTTCTACCCTTACCTGGCCTTGGAATAGTGCGTTCTTGTCCGCTCTTGTGAGACGTGGTGAGAGACGAAGTCGCTCTAAGGCACAGGGCGAGTGGAGTCGATCTTTTACCAAGATGGACAATGCGGCAGCCACGGTTTCGTCAAAGTGAGTGCCACGACCACGGAGATTTCCTGGGGCTGAAACCGAGAGGAACTGTAGCTGAGGCAGTAGAGGACTCGACGACCCGTCCCCGGACTCGTTGATAGCGTTGACAATGGCAAAGCCGGTGAGGGGGCACGCAATTGTCAGTGCAGTCAACGAGCCTGCCAAGTACAACAGTTCCCAGATTTCGTCATCCGAAGTCCACAGATCGACGAGGATGAGATGCTCAAGGGTGGGAATAGGAGATGCACTGGAAGTTTCCAGGAACACGGCAATATCACCACTCAGAACGAGCGTCTTGAGCTGTCCCAAAGTCCAGAATGTTGCTACTGTGTTCGACTCGGACACATGATTTGCAAGCTGGAGGTGGCACATGTGAAGCTCTTGGAGGTTGGGAAACCCGTTCAAGAATTGAGCCAACGTATCAGCCACAGTCCGGACACCACTCAACACAAGCTTCGAAATGGTAGGAAATGTGTGCATCGTAGATGGTAGATCGCACGCTTTGAAAACGAGAGTACGGAGCGAAGGTGCGGAAGCGATGCCAGCGCCGTTCCATGGTCGGTGAGCGAAAGAGCGGAATCTACATGAACATTCGGCGTCCTGCGGACACATGACGATTGAACAAAGTCGTGGAAAGGAATATGACATTCCAAGGAATAGATGTCCTAGCCCGCGTGTGCACATCTCTGATCGGAGAGAGACAATGCGATCGGCATTCGAATATAACAGGTCGCACAATGTCAAGCGTAGGGAAGGATCCGAAGGCGATTTGATGGCGTCGAAACACGAGATATTGAGGACGAGACTGAAAACGAACGGAACTTGCTTGATAAATGATTTGGCAAAGAGCAACGACGACATGTTGGTGATACGGAAACTAGACCAGACCTCGGCGGTATGGAACGCGACACGTCGCCATCGATCGCAGACCTGGGCACAGACGAGCTGGAATGGTGGACGGCGGGTTCGAGGGGCCTTCTCTTCATCGCTGCTCACTAGTGGCTGAAGAATGTCTGCCCCGTGAGCAAAGATGAGTGAGAGGACGTCGTCTGGGAGGCGTGTAATAGGTGCTCGTCGGGCGCGCAATCGGAACAGAATGTTCTTCTCAGTCTGGAGGGCCAGTTCGAGGGCCAAAACAACGGTCCGAGCCGCTTCTAGTTTTTCCTTCATCTCCTCGACCCTGCCAAGAGACAGTATTTCATCTTGCGGAGCAGATGCATTCCACCGGTCGCCGAATTGGGGTCGTTTCTCTGGTTCCTGACCGAACTCGCCCATGTCAGAGAAGTCACCGTCGTGAATGTTCATATCGCCTTTGTTCAAGTGTGAGCTCAGTTAACGACAAGTGGATGTCAATTGGATACTTACAAAGCCTCCAGTATTAATGGTGGTCGACAGAAGTAAGGAGGGACTGCCGTCGGACACGAGAGAAACACACCGTTCCCAGACGGAGGCTCTACACCGAAAAGGAAATCATTCCAAACAGGATGCTCGGACCCTGGCTGATGGTCTTTTCTTCTTCATCACTGAACGGTGCTAATGGGTCGCAGAATGGCGTAGCGTATTCAAGGGTTGCCGTGTTGCTGTAAGTAGAACAGTTTCTGATATCCCCATGCGGTCATGGTTGTACAAACAATCTCCGAACATCCGCCTCCCTTGTTTTGCGCACGCCCTACACGACATGGATATCGGTTCCATAAATCAAGAATTCCGCAGTCGTAAGCGAAGATGTCACATGTTATCTACATAGGTTGTCAGCGTGGTTCCGGTGCTTTTCTGCCAAGCGGACTCACAGTCTAATGACTGATCTTCGGAAACTTCATGCTGCACTGCATAACAAATCGAACCTGGAGTTAAGCATTGTATTCCGTAGCGCGGCTGATGTTGCTGGTATGACCTAGAATGACTAGTTCATCGATCAGGGAGGGAACATGGGTTCCAGATCCGTTCTTCGGCAGTGGGAAGGGCTCTTTGTTGAAGCGTGACGCGGACGAATAGGCCACAAAAGCAGAACAACCCACAGAGAAATGACAATCTATGACAAGAAGGGAGTAACAGACAGCAACTCCCCGCGTGAGGCCGCCATTTGACGAGATGTTCGCCCTTGGTACATCTTGAGTAACAGCCAGAATTTCGACGAGCACGGCCGAATGATAGGGCTACAGGGTGAAGGAACTAGCACTTTCTCCTAGCGTGGGGTCCCGTAGCGTGTGGAGGGAGTTTGCAAATCTACCACTTTGAGACGGAATCGCACGGCGGGTTGCTCAAGTGGTGCGTGTGGCCGAGTGTCAGCGTTTCAAGTATCGAGCCGAGTTGGTCTCATCGATAACCAGTGGTCGTCCAGACTATTTAATTTTCATTGATCCTAGAGCACAGTCTCGTCGTTGAAGTCTCAGAAATCGAACTATCGGCCTGGCTAGTTGATTTGAAAGCCGGTATTCATATGCGAAGTATGTTGCCAGCGTCGCAGATGGTCGTCGGTGGAAGGGGAAGCAACGGTCGGTAGTTCGGCCCGGACCCCACGCGGGGAAGTTGTCCGGTATTTAAACCAGGGACTCGTACCGAATATTTGCCCCGCTGTTGTTCATTACCATCTCAAAGGTTTACTAACTCTGTTTGAACATTGAATTAACAAATATGTCACGACCGAAGATCCTCGTCTCAGGTAGGCATACTGCACCTTTAGACCGCGCGCTAACTGGCCTCGTGATCATGTAGGACACATCGCATGGGCGAACAAGGAGGTTTACGAGCTGCTCGAACCATTCGGTGACATCGTATGGCTGGATGGTGTACCTACGCGCAACGATTTCAAGAACGTCTTCCTCCCGCAGCACCCCAACATTGTCGGTATCTACCGGCATAACAGCTCTTCTGACCGCATTGGGGTTTATGATAAGGAGTTGGTGGATATGCTGCCGAGCAGCGTCAAGTTCATTGCACATAACGGAGCAGGATACGACCAAATAGACGTTGCAGCATGCAGGGCGCGTGGTACGTTCTTGTTTTCGCAGCATTCCTTATCATGCTGATTCGCCCCCAGGCATCCAAGTATCGAACACGCCAGGCGCAGTTGACACCGCGACTGCCACCACAGCTCTTTACCTACTCATCTCATGCTTCCGTCAATTCGCCAAAGCAGAGCTGAACGCTCGCGCACGCAATTGGAAGAACGGTCTCCTACCCGCACACGATCCAGACGGCAAGATCCTTGGTATCGTTGGGTATGGGGGGATTGGCGGCGTACTCGCCCAGAGGTGCAGGGACAGCTTCGGGATGAAGGTGATCTACTATAACCCGCGCCCGCGCACGGATGCGCCTGCGTGGGCCGAGTACAGACCCACGCTGGTCCAATTGCTTAAAGAGGCGGACGTGGTCAGCCTGCATTGCCCGCTGAGGGAGGAGACGAGGGGATTGATTGGTGCAACGGAGTTCGAGCAGATGAAGAAAGGTGCAATTCTGATTAATACGGCGAGAGGAGCGGTGGTCGACGAGAAGGCGATGATCGGGGCGCTCAAGTCTGGTCATGTACGTCCATATTTTCCCTTTCTCCGCTGTCTTTGTCTTCCCCCCTCCTCCGAACAAGTCCTGATTATTCCCACAGCTGTATGCTGCCGGCCTAGATGTTTACCCCAGCGAGCCCCACATCACCGAAGAGCTCTACTCCTTCCCTAACGTGACTCTGCTCCCGCACATGGGCACGGAGACGGAGGAGAGCCAGAAATCCATGGAGGTTGCCGCGATGAAGTGCTTGGTGAAGGCCTTCGAGACAGGAGAGATCGGGAACCGAGTGGCTTGAATGAATTTGCATGTACCTCAGAGTAGCGGCCGTAGTAGGCGAGGAGATGTCTGTAACACATCATACGTCTGTTTGAGCAATTTTGAAATGAAACTAGAAATAATACAGTTATGCGGCTTCGACGACGGAAGTGGGAATGAGGAAGTGATACAAATAAACCTGATCAGAGAATTGGATCACCCGTGTCATTCTTCGTATACTGTCCAGAAGAATCTGCCTCAAGACCATGAGGAATAAGTCTCATCAAGCGTGCGAACGCAATCCCAGCCATTTCAACTCCTCGTCAATGACACGAATGCCCTTCTCTGCGAGGTCCATCGATTTTGCCATCAGTTGACCCGCTACCGCGATATTTGTCTCTGCAATAGTGCTCCAGAGGAACCGGTCGGGACGAGAGCCGGATGCTGTCAGGCGTACAACGGCGAGCGAGGGAATCCGAGTTTTTGGAGCGAGTAAGATCTGGTCAAGAGACTGCACTAGTCCGCGTCCTTGAACGGGATCGTCGAATTGAACATGGTAAATCAATCGATCAATCATCGGCGGCAAGCAGTCAATGAAGCCCCATCGCGGGGGGTCGCAGAAGACCAGTTCACGAAGTTCAGTGAGGAGGGGGAGGAGGGTACGCGCGCCTTCATCCGCGAGGTTGGAATGCAAGCTTAAAGTCCCCAAACGGTGGTTGACTCTTCCGACCAGCGGCCCAAGTGCTTCGCAAGCAGGGCTAGTGAGCGGGAGATCAAGCATTAGTTCCTGGAGAACGGGAAATTGGCCACGGGAAAAGAATGCGAGAAGTACGTGTCGAGGATGGTTCCCTCGACAACGCACCCTGAGAGTGTCTAAATACGGCATGTTGAGCGCTGGCGTATTGGTTTCCCCAAGCTCCGAGATGTCTTCCAGATCGCTTGCGTCCAGATCAAGACACCTTAATGCAGGGAAATGTCCCAAAAACATAAGCTGTACAGCAGCCTCTCCGTTGTCAGGCGAGATTTCAACGCTCAGTTCTCTGAGCGACGGACCGCTCACCGCTGCGAGCGCTTCGAACGCAGAGCTGGGAAGCTGAACCCCAGGAGCTCGAAATACCGATAGCATGGGCATGTAGCGAATAATTATCGCGAGATCCATAATGATGTTGTCATCGATTTGGTCAGATACGGTGAAAGAATAGGTTGCCTTGTCAACATTCGTACCCCGCGCGGCATTCCGTACAAGTTGTCGGCGACATCGAACGATAGACCGATCGTCGGCAAAATCCAAATAGCGATAAAGCAAAGGGTTTGCTATTGTCTTGAGAGCGTGTTGAGATTGCGCAAACCCAAAATAATGTGTCCGTCACTTGCCTTCCAAGTTTTCGATACTAGCAGCAATGGAAGGACAGCGGCGGACGTCTTTGCACTATGCACGACTTCTTCAAACACCATCCGCCATACATCGTTCGATACAGACTGGTAGATGGTGTGTTCCATGGAAGCGCGTTGTAAGTTGTAAGGTTGTTGCCAACGCGCGTCTGGCGCGTTAAGAAAACACCAAACACTAGTGCTACGTATACTGTACAGTACCAATTGCGTCCGCTGATGAAAAACGAAGTTGAGCCCTGGCCATGGTCTCCGGTTTGTTGACAACCACGTCCTGCACTAGCAATGTAAGAAACTTGTTCTGCTCAAAGTACTCACTCCCTCCGGGAATTGTCATCCTCAGTTCCCTCAATAAACCTATCGAACGAGCTATAAGCGCTCCCTGGTTCTCGAGACAACGCTCATAGTCTGCTCCAGTTGCTCCAAGGCAAACAAAGGACACAAATATTCCTCTATATTACCTAATTCTTTTTCGCCAATGAGTCGTTTTGTAGCCAGACCACGTGATCTAACACTGAACAAAGTGTCGTGGTTCTAGGACCGGGCCGAGACTAGTGTACGACTCATCCGGCAAACGCTGATACAATCTCAACAAAGTCTCGTGGTTCTAGGACCAGGTTGAGACCATTGTACGACTCACCGGCAATGGCGTTCCGCGGCTTACTCTCGGTCAACCCTTTGGCTCACGAACAACCTCGGTGCTGACAGCGGCTCCCAAGGAGGATGGATCACCTCCACATCTCTGGGCAATAATGAGACATGAGCCGAGCTCATCAGCTGTCCTCCGCCTCCGACTGACTCATCCGGCCCAGCGGACTGCATAATTTCCGGATCTGGCTGGTTCCCTAGTGGCTCCCAGAGGAATGTGACTCATTGTTCTTGTACATCGGCAAATGGGGCAGCTGCAGCCAACATCCGTTGTCAAGCCTGAAACACGCCCTGAAGTCCCGGGCCGTGCTCGTGCCGTCGTTCCCCATGGGGAGCCGGGGCCCAATGTGGACCATGGCGCTCGTTGTCCACCCTGCCCTGGGCCGGACGGTAGACCCGCGGCCGGCAGCGTATCACGATATCGATCTCGGATGTCCGATACAGACACTAGTACACTGAGGAAGCTTATTAATGACCTTTCCCTGCTTCCTGACTTCCTGAGAGCACGCGACCTCAAACGCACGAATCGGGCTCAATTGCGCTTCAGCCTCCCCCTTCCGGCTCTCCAGGAAGACAGCTGGTGTCTTGCCCGGCGCGTAAGAGGCGGCAAATATACCTCCCGAAGACCCTACCTCGGGGTTGCTTCATCACAACCCAACGGGCTTTTCAGTGGCTAGGGTCGACCGGTTCGGTACGGTACGTGACTGGTGCCTGAGCATGCGTAGCCTCTCGCAAGGCACCTCAACTCCCCTCCAACTATTGAAATTCAATTGAATTCAATCGTCAGGCACTGTAGGAACGGAAAGCGGGGCTCCAAGGGGTCAGAAAAGGCGGAACTGGAACTGGGCGGGGAGGTAGGACCCCGAACTGTGTATGAGGGGAAGATGACGAAATATTTCAGAATGTTTCAGAATTTACTGGAGTGGGAATGGGAAATTTTCGATTCTGGTGCTTGTGCTTGGGTGCTTAGGATCATCTGCGATGCGATGGGAGTATGTCGTCAGTGTAGAGTAGAGTATGCGCGTTTCGTCGTATTGGGTCATTGACATCCTATCCTCAATCCTATCATCATGTCTCCAATCGTACACATTTCCCCCCTCCCACCCCCTACTTTGGAGTCTCCAAACCTAACCCTCAGTCGCTCAACCCAAACGATCCTACAATCCAAATCCAGCACAGAACAAACCAGAAAAACCAGAGATGAAAATCCATACAATCCAGTGCAGAACAAACCAGAAACCAGAAACCAGAAAAAGAAAAGAATCCATACAACCCAAAAAATCCGTAATCCGTGCAGGATAGTGTACAATGCCCTCCCTTCCCCTTCCCTCCCTCCCTTGTGTCCACTGAATCAAAGTCATTGGGATCCGTTTTCCGTCCATTTCCTGCCTTTGCCCGTAGCGTGTCCGTCCATACTCTCCATCCCACCCTCTAGTCTGTCCATACCAACCACCCAGTGGAGGTTACCTCCCCTCCCCCTCCCCCTGCTGCTGCTGCTGCTGCTGCTGCTGTCGCCCCAGTACAGGTCCAGCAAGTCCGCCCGTCCCCGTTCCCGCTCCCACCGCACTCATCGAGAGAGGTAAAACCAGATCACTCCCCGCCACGCCTTCCATCTCCCTGCCCAGCCCCAGCCCAGCGCGACCCTCCTCCTGCTCCCTCCCTCCCTGTCCTCGAGTGGAGCGACGGAACCGGCGGATAAGGCTTAACAGCCCTGATGTGGTGGGCTCGATGTCTGATTTCTGGACTTGGGGCTGCCCGTTTGCGGTTGGGGAAGGTGAGGGCGACGGGCATGGCGACGGGCATGGAGACGGCGAAGGAGACGGCGAAGAGCGAAAGCGAGATGTCAAAGGCGGAGACAAAGAAGAAGGCAGCGGGACAACAGCGTCAACAGCGTCCAACACAGGTAGGTCGACAGTAGACGCTGTCACCGAAGCTGATGCTGTTAGGACCGACTCCTCCTCCCCTGGCAGTCGGACTTCTAAAGGCGAAACCTGGGTCAGCTCCAGCCTCAGCCCCTTCTCCAACCCCTTCTCCAACCCCAACTGCTTCTCCAACTCTCCAGCTCCAGCTCCCCCACCCCCAACCCCCCGGAGCCTCCTCTCCTCCCTCGCAACCCTCCTCTCCCCCACGACCACAGGATAGGCAAGGCTCATCTTCCAGTATATCCATAGCGCTGCGAAGATTGTCACTAGGACTGTTACGAGGATCACTACTGCGGAGAGGGCTTTGTTCTTTGGTGACATGTGCCCGTCGGCGGATTGGAGGAGTACGACTGGGGGGGAAGGTCAGTACCTGCTGGGAGATGGGAATAGGAGGGGAGAGCGGGGAGAGGAAAGGGAGAACAGAACGCACCCCCCAAATAAACAGTCACCATCTGCTTAGGCATACTCAACGCCGCCGCCAACACGAACGTCCCAATCCCCATCCCACAAGTCGAGAACACCGCCGTAGTCAGATGTCCCGGTACGGCACTGAGCCGAGTAACAAGGGCGATCGTGAACCCTCCGTCGCGGATTATGCGGGCTAGGGTCGCGTACCGCAGGTTTGTGAGTTCCGCACGGTGTCCTTTCGCGCTGAGGAGGTAGCGGAAGGCGCTGCACGATGTGTTATGAGCATGCGAGAAGGTGAAAGGGAGTGGGAGAGGGGGACGTACTAAAAGTTCCCGACTTCGCCTAATACTGTCCCTACTGCTACGATCGCGAACCCCAGTCCGAAGCCCCATACGAGTCCAACGAGGACAGCGATGATCTCGTGTCCGAAGAGCGGGGGGAAGGAGATGATAAATAGGATCACGATAGGTATTAACCAGCCTGCGGGCATGCTACGCGAAGGGTGAGTGAGGGAAGGGAGGGAAGGGGGGG